CGGGGGCCGGGGGGAGGGCCGGAGACCTGGGCGGCGCTCTGCGGGACCCGCGGCGGGAGGGGGCCTGGGGGTGCGCTCAGACCCGAGAAGAGGGGCCGGCACGTGGGTGGGGGCTGCGCCCGGGCCCCTGTGGTGCACGGCGCCCCCGCGAGCCCGAGCTTGAGCCTAGCGCCGATTGTCGCCGTCCCCCGCCTGCTGGGGACCGGCGTCCCGTCGCATGGCCGTAAGCCCGCGAGCCGCCTCGGGCTGACTCCTGTCCTTCCTGCTGCCCGCTCCGCTGTCGGGGCTCCCAGGACGGTAGGTCGGGGAGGTGGAGGGTGACCGGTAGGAACGGGAGCCTTGGCGGTGGAGCTCGCGTGAGGACCCCGGGTTGTGGGCTGCCGAGGGCACGGTTAGCCGGGCCCCTGGCGTGGCCGCCGCGAGGGTTCGCGTGTCTGAGCCGCGCAGCCCAGGTCCTCTTGTGTTCGGCTGAGAAGCGCTCGGTTCACCACCAGCGAATTCGTATTCCTTGATCTTCCTGATTGGGAAAATTATACAGTAAATATGGAAAATGCCCTGGTAATACCGGCACACTAAATATTTAATTTTTTGTAGTTTGGGCGCGCGCCAGAGGATGTTGTGGATTTTCCTAAGCTTTTTCTGAATAATAAAGTGTTTAAATGTCAGAATGTTATCCTTCCATGGTGGGAAGGAATCTTAGTTGACTGTCTTTTTTAGGTTAATCTTCACAATATTCCCTTTCTTGACGTTGATTTGTGCAGTTCTGTCGCCTTGAGTGTCATTAGCACTGAGGGCTGAGTTTGGAGGAGAGGGCACATGGAGTGGGTGACCAGACCTGAGGCCTGGAATAGTGGGGACTGATATTTAACAAACTTGGTTGGCATAAAAGATATTGTGGAAGGCTGGTTGGTCTTGGCCTTCTAGAAGCTTGTGCAGTGGTATTTTAGTAACTAAACTCTCTTGGATGACCCCAGGGCAATCCTTTCTCTACTATAACTTTAGGATGAAAAGACTTTTAGCTTTGAATTTGAAAATAAGTAGATGCTGAACCCAGAGTGGTAAATGAGTGCCTGTAACAGTGGTGGATTTTTCCAGCGTTGTCTTGACAGTTTCCTTTTCTGTCCCTACCTGCCATTCTTCTTTTTCCTCTGTTTCCCACGCTCCCTATTTCATTTTAGGACTTTGGCTCTTACAGGGGTCTTGAACCAAATGTTACTTAAAACCTAGAACAAGCTGAACTGGAACCATATTTGGCCATCTATGAATCAAATCTAAGTGCTTAAAAATGTACTTGGCAAACCACTTTGATCTGAAACAGTATATTGTCTAAAAAGTTTAGAGCCAGATCATCTGATTCTCTGAATCTTATGGTTTAAGGAAGCTCACGTGGGTTTCAACATCTGCTACAGGTCAGGCATTGAACTAGGTACCAGGTATAATATAAAGATAAGACCTGGTATTATCCTTGAGGGGGGAGGGGGGACATTTTATGTATACATATATATCTATATATACACACGCACACATATATATATAGAAGACGTTATAGCACAGTGTGGCAGGTGCTGGAAGAATGGGTTTCCCTGCTGGTGTGCATAGGAGGAGGCCCCACTGAAATGTTTCAAAGTGGGTATCGTCTAAGTTGGGTCTTGAGATGAGCAGAAGTTAAGAAGAGAGTGATCCTTCAGGTGGAATGTATGTGCTCAGGAGTGAAGGCGTTAATGTCCATTGGGATACATCAGGATGACCCAGTTTATCTGAAGCAGAGTGACATGAGATAAATCTAGTAAAATAGAGATTCAGTAGTGGAGGTTGAAAAGAAGCTAGTGGTTTTGGCATCCTCAAGTCCATGAAAACTCTAACTCTTCAGTAGAGTGTAGGTAGAAGAGGCTGGGGAGCAGTGAGTTGAAGAGCGAATAGGAAGTGAAGACAGAAAGGCTGGACTGTTTCAAGAAATTTGTCATTAAAAGGAAGCAGAGAAGGTGGCCTGAGAAAAGGCCAGGTCCTGGGTCTGTGTGCGCATGTACGTACGTGTTACACAAGAATAGAACACTTCATTGTTTATAGACGGAGGGAGAGAGATTGAAATCTCAAGACTCATGAAAGCAATAAGATGAGAAACACAGACTGGAGGGTAGATACAGGAAAGGGTGCCTTTTTCTGTGAGACAGGTTGAATGGATGTGTGAAGTTAAAGATGCTTGGAGGTGATTTGTGGCCAATTGTTTTTCTCATTTATTAAATGAATACTTAGCATCTCCTCCAATTCACATGTATCATTGGTCAATAAAATATTCTAAATAAAATATTCTGAAAAGGTCATCCAACTTGTGGGTAGATTTAGCTGTGTGGGTACTGCGTCACCTTCATACATGTGCTCACTCAGCTCCTCTGAGCACACACCACTCTTCTCGGGTTCTGCCCTTCCCTCCACCTGCCCCTGAAGTCTCTGTTGTGGGCATTTACCCTCCAGCTCTCTCCCACCCTGCACTCGGGGGATCTCATTCACTCTAAGAGCTTTGGCTCCCATCTCTGATAGCTGGTGACTCCCTCCATGAAGTGGGACCTGAGTCTTTTCCTAGATACCCCTGGCTGTCTCTTCCTAGGCCCTCCGTGTGGCACCCCCAGAAGGGCTCCCCGCCCTCTGCTCCTGTGTCACGTTCCTCGAGCAGTACTCTCGTTCCCCCAGCACATTTCGTTCCTTGCTTGTGTGCCTGCACCCCTTCCAGTCACCAGTCTGGCTGATTCTCTCACATCTTTCTTGCTGTCCCTAGGGATATTCCTTTAGTTGGTCTCCTGTCTCCTTCACCTGGATTATTGCAGTTGTTTCTTAATAGGTCTCCTGGCTCCAGTCACGCAGCCAACCCAACCCATTCTTCTCACACTGACAGTAATCTTCCTGTAAAATCTCATCATGCCACTCTCCTGCTTAAAGCCCTCCAGTGTCTCTCCAGAAGACACTTCTGTATTTTATTTCACAATAAAATACAAACATGTTTTCATGGCACACGAGAAAGACCATCTATGGTCTGATCTGTATTTACCTGCCCAGAGTGTTGAACGTTGCTCTCTCCCCACAATACACATATTTTTGCCTGGCTAACTCCTTTAAATTCGTGAGGATTCTGCTCATATATCTCATCTTCCAGAACCTTTCCCATCCCCAAACCTTTAAGTTTGAGGCCTGGGAATGTCGTGTGTGGAGCCCAGTCTGCGCACTCAGGGTTCTGCATTCTCAGTCCTTCTGTCTTCAGGACAGAGACGCTACTGAGTACCTGGCGCACAGTAGCCGGCATACTTAACTTGGTCAGTGAACCAAGACTTGCTGCTTTTTTTGGTCCACAAATGTTTCACTGCATATGACTCAGTGTAAGGTTATTAATTCTATGTGGAGAACATGGTGTGTTTTTATTAGAATTTTCATTGTTCACAATAATTTGTGTAAACCAAGAATGAAATGCAGTATTTTCCATTTTAATTTGTGTGTTTTTTTAAAGGTTATTCAGCTTCTCAAAGCTGGGAAAGCTAAGGAAGTGTCCTATAATGCCCTAGCCTCACACATAATTTCAGAAGACGGGGACAATCCAGAGGTTGGAGAAGCTCGGGAAGTCTTTGATTTGCCTGTCGTAAAGGTTGGTGGAAATCTAATAATTTTATGCATTTCATCATGTATCTTGAAAGCCGTTCATTGAAGTGTGAAGATAACTCTTTTCAGCCTGTTTGCTGAAGTACTGCTTTGTGTGGGGAGTGGCCAGATGAATAAAGCCCTTGGACATCTCAGTAACCTGCCTCAGCTTCCGGCCCTTGAGGTTAGATACCCCTGTAGCGAGGGTTCTGTACGTTACCAGTAACTCCAGGTCGATCAGCTTACACACCTGCTAAGGGGTGACCCCATTGTATCACTGTCTGGAAGCTCTCTCAGCTGAGGACACGTGTAGTAGGAAGTGGGTGGGTTGTCTTGAAGCAGATGGGCAGTGGTGAATTCTTATAAGAAAGTGTATTTGATTCCAAAAGCAGGCTAAGTCCTGTCGAGAGGTAAGTCCTGGAACAGGGTTACTGTCCCTCCCCGTTGTGATAAGTGGTCCTCATTTCCAGCTAGACAAGTTGAAGGGAGTCCGGTCCCCCATCTGCTGTGCTATTTAACTGCTCTCTGACAAGGGCCACAGTGACCATTTATAACACTGTCCACCTGGTGGCCATCTGTATCGGTATCCAACTTGACCTGTGGGTAGTTTATTCTAGACAGTGGGGGCCTCCGCTGGTGGCTGAATTGTTCAGAGTCTGTTGATCTACATACCATGCTGCTTTGTTGTGGCTGATACTTGAGTTGACTGCTGATAAATGTATGATTTTAAGATTTAATTTTGATCCTTTAACTTTTTCTAATCTTCTGTATTATATATTTGTTTTAAAATAGTTCTGTTCCACTACCGTTGTTTTCTCCTCTTCATGCTATTAAATGCTTTGCCTTAAAAAAAAATCAGTATGAAAGTTATTGTGGTTTAGTAACAACAGAGGTAGGAGTTAGGAAAGATTGCCGTTAAGTCAGGCTGGGAAGCAGAGAAGCTGGCTGGCTGCTGGGAACTGTGAACTACACACCAGTATTCAGGGTCTGAACCTCTGTCTTACAGGCTTAGAAACTTGATTTTTGAAAATAAACCTGAAAGCAGATCTGTCTCACGAGAAGATTCTCATAAACCAAACTCTCAAGAGACTGCTGTGTAAGTCAGAATGGCTATTAATTTGCAGCAATGAAATGCAGTGGTCACGTTCCTACACTAGAGTGCCAGTTTCGGCGTGGCCGGCTTGGGCTCCCTCTGCAGCAGATCCTTTGTGAAGACTAAGTATCAGCAGGCTTCCTGGCCGGTTCACCTGATGCCGTTTTGTAAGAGAGACAGGCTTGACGGGCCACAGGCTGTGGGCTTGGGCACTGCTCTCTTGGACTCTGTTTTATCTCGGTTTGCTTCTATTCTTCCTTAGCTGTAGGGGCTGGGGCTCAGTCCCTTCTCCTGTCTACAAACTTTTTCTCTCAGACAATAGCCTGGAGCCTATTGTCTCATCAAAATGACTTCACGTATATTGTGTAGATTTCATAGTGAACCTTAAAAAGGCAGTCTTACTACCAGATTTTGGGGGCCTAGGTCATTGTTGCCAGACTGCCTACAGCAGTGGTTCTTACATCTGGTGGCCCCAAACCCCTTTTTGTAACAAATATTTTGTAATATCCCTTTTATTATACTGAAATGACATTCGTATGTAAGATAACATCATATAATTTAAAATATATATGTATGTGTGTATGTATGTTTATATATAAATTGCCAAAACTGAAATGTAAAGGAGAAAAAAAGGAAAGTACATAATAAGTATGCATTTCAGTGTGTAAATATTTGGGCACAGCCACACCAGAGGGTCGAATAATGAAGTCAGATGCTGCTGTAGATGGAATCACGGTGAACGTGGCTGCCACACATGCACACTGAGCCTGCTATCCCACAGGTGGAGTCACCAGCTGTGAGGTGACATTTCAGAACAGTAATCAACCCTTAAATTCTGAGCTAAACAAAGCAGTCTTCTTCCTTTTACACAGAAGTTGTATACTGGGAAAGTCAAGCTATAATAAGGCTGCATAAAAGTACCTATTACCCGGCATCTACCTACCACCATTTTGCCAGTCTAGCTTAATACATCCCATCCTGTTTTTACCCCTTTGGCTATAGTATTCAAAACAAATCCCAGGCATACTGTTATTTCATCTGTTTCGGCGTTCCAGCCTGCCTGTAATTGCTGGAAGCACCTGTGTTGTCTGAGGCCTCGGCATCGCCTTACAGGATGGTGGAACTGGTCCAGCAGTTTGCTTTCACTCCCGGATAGTGCTGGTAGACCCTAATGTTCTTGGTCTGAACCTGATACTCCATAGGGGGCTGCTGCTCCTGGGAGTCTGAGCTCAGCTGATGGAGGCGGCCACCTGGTTCCCTAAGCACCTACCCCTTGGCCTTTACCTTGATATTAAATTTGACAAATGCGTATTAAAAATAAAGTATTTTTATGCATGGTGACAGTTTATCTATCTTTTACATATTCGAATTTTATAGATGTTTAAAACTTGCTTCTTTAGGCACCAAAACCTTTAAAGTAATTTTTTTAGTGGAAGTATTTTCCTCAGCGGCCTTGGGGCGTCACTGGAAATGTTAATTGTGCTCACTTGCAGTGGGTTTATTTTTATATATTGTTATTGGCCTTTGGGATAAATTTAGCTCCTTATATTACTATGGTTTTCTGGTTCTCCATTTCTGCTTTATTGTTATTAGTGTGTCTTTGCTTCTCTTAACTTTGCATTATTTTATCTAGACGTATCTGAATGAGAGCTCAGGGTGATTCTGCCCTGTGTGGACTTTGATAGCTGGCCCAGCGGTCTTTCAGCGGGGATACCCATAGTCACCCCTCCCCCAAGCCCCAGAGAGACGACTTCCCAGGGTGTATGCTGCATGGATGCTTGTAGAGGGTACCTTTCCCGAGAGTGTGCACGCGTCCTTACATGGCCCTTCCAAAGAACACTGCCTGAGAACACTCCTCTGGTCACAGTAGCCGCTCTCCCACAGCAGATGAGAAAAGTCATACCTGCACCCTTCCAAATGGTATTACAGTGCATCGCCCCAGGCCCTGAAAATCTGCCTGTTCGCTAGACAAAGGGAAACTAGAAATACTGGTTTCAGGAAAGCCGCCTAGTGCTTGCCTAGTGCTCAACCATGCAACCGAGGAATTCCGAGGGGCTCTGAGTGTCACTGTTGAGAATAAAGCTGCCCACGGGAAGATGTTCTGAATGCAGAAGAGTCAGAGCCAGTGTAGGTTACTGATGTGGCCAATTCCCTGAAATTTAACTGGCATTTTCCCAGGACTATCAAAAAAATGTGAAGGTTACATTGGATAAAGTGCATGGATAGAAACACGAAGTGCTTTCTTTCAGCTTGGTGCACTTTATCCAATAAATTAGTTAAAACGTGATAAAATTATCATGAAATAATTATCCCAAGTAAAGCCAATCTTTATCTTGTAAGATGTTTAATATTCCTATGCTCCATTCGCAGATGATACACTTATGTAAACTTATGCTTCAGAATTGTTGATGTCACTTAAAAAATGAGGTATTTCGTTTTCTTTGGTTCTTTTAAGGTGTACATGACAAAAATAGTTTGAAGGTAGTTAGCTTGGAATGTAAGTTGCGTGAGAGCAAAGACTGCATTTCTAGTCTTCGTTGTATCCCCAGGGACGAACCATCTCTGCCACAGAATAGATTCTCAATAAATATTTGATGTATGAATTGAAGCCTGAGTAATGAGTATGTGTCTATGTTTCAGTTGGCTGAAGTTTCTGGAATTCAGCTGGCTAAATGAGGCATTGCTATATTTTTACATAGTAATTTTGTGAAGCAGAGCTATCAAGATAATGATTAATGTAATTTTCAAATTTAAATATAGAAATATAAGATAGGGTAATTTTTCAAAAATATAAATTACCCAAAAGGTAGTAATTAATCTAAGGTTTTGTAATTAATCTGAGTTTTGGAATGCATAAAAAGACTACCAGACAGTTAGAAATACTTTTTGTGGTTTATAAACAGTGTGTATCTACTTGGCATCACTGAAAAAAACTCACGAATTTAAACTTGATTGGATTCAGGATTCAAGGAAGGAACTTAGGAGGGGCTGATATACCTTGGATGAGGAGGGGGCGGGCATGGCTGTCAGATCCCTGTCCATTCAACTGTGAGACAGAATTCTAGCCGGCCTACAGGTGTAAGCAGTAATGAGTGTGTAAACCTAGAATTTAAATTTCTATACATACGAATTTTTTAAAGATCTGGTAGTGTTTCATTCTGTAATTGGGCTTTTCACCTTGGGTATTAATAACTAATCTTCAACTCTTGATATTTCTGCTACTTGAAAACTCATAATTGTAGTCTGGATGCTTTATAACAGAGCCTTTGATTTTTAGGAACAACACTAGTAAAATAATGTCATTTTGATTATAAATTGAAAAAAGTTTTTTTGATTTGAGTTAATGTTTTCTATTTCAGCCTTCTTGGGTGATTTTGTCCGTTCAGTGTGGAGCTCTTCTGCCGTATCCTTTTTGGGGGAAAGGAGGAGGGAAAGGATGATTCTGGGATTCAGACTGAAATGATCATTACTGAGTGAAAAGTGTGTTGTGTATATTCTCTATCCCTACTGTTTTCCATCCTGTATCAGATTTTATGTACCTGATCCTTGTCATCACCCGTGGAAGGGGGAGACCAGCTGTGTTGAGTAGCTCCAGGCTCGGACCTGGAGGCACGAGTTCTGGTTCTTCTGAGACTTGGCTTTATGATCTGGGGCAGTCGGCTTCTCTGGACCTCAGTGTTCTTGTCCCTGAAACAGATCATTTTTGTGTTGTCTAGTTAGATGGAATATTTCTAAAATTCTAATTCTGTATGAACCAAATCATGAACTATTTGAAGAACAGATTGGGGAAGAGACTGTCAGAACATTTTTAATTTTGTAACATGCATTGTTGTTCTTTTTGATTATGTTGGATGGGAGATTTATTAGTTCAGGGGCCGGCCCCGTGGCGTAGCGGTTAAGTGCGCATGCTCCGCTGCTGGTGGTCTGGGTTTGGAACCCCGGGCGTGCACTGATGCACCGATTGTCAAGCCATGCTGTGGCGGCGTCCCATATAAAGTGGAGGAAGATGGGCACAGATGTTAGCCCAGGACCAGTCTTCCTCAGCAAAAAAAGAGGAAGATTGGCATGGATGTTAGCTCAGGGCTGATTTTCTTCACAAAAAAAAAAAAAATTTCTTAGTTCAGTCCACATGTTGAGCACCTGCTTTGAGCTGGGTACTGAAAATAGAGGAGTCGACAAGACCTCACTTCTGCCCTCCAGGAGCTCCCTCACATGCACGTGTTCTTCGACGTTTCTTGAGTGTGACTTTAGAACCCAGGCCCACCCCTGCGCTGTGGTAGACGTCAGGTCATGAGACACTGCAGCTGCTGTTTAGTGTTCTGGGCCGCGTGGCTCCTGTTTCACCCTGCAAGTATGAAGCTTCCCTGCAGAGTCCCTCTACGCATAACTGATTTTGGAAATCACTTCTTGTTAAGGGTACCTGATACCATACAGTTATGATGTTAAAATTTTAGACCTGGGCGAGAGATGAGGTCATTCGCCCTGTTTTGTTTTGCAGCTCTGTCAGGTGGTGCCTGCAAATGCCTGTATATTACTTACAGGGAATCGATATGGATGGAGGAATCCTGTGTGAAATATTTATAGGGGATCTCAAATAAACAGAACATATCCCTTTATAAGCAGTTCTTGGAGGATGTGCAGAACTTTAGCAGCTCTAACTCAGAAGTTCTAAGATTTCTCCTCCAAAATCTAAAGAGTTAAAGGAAATTGGTTCCTGTTTTGTTTTTTTCGGAGGTTTTTTTTTTAAAATAAGCACAGGTATAAAAGACTGGGGGTGGGAGGGGTGTTTTTGAAGATAAGAGGCTAGTGTTCCTGTTCTGGATCCTGTACTCCCCACATAAGAATTCCGTAAGAAGTTCTCTTCTTAAGCTCTTGCCAATCCCAAAGAAGCTTACAGGAACAGAAAAAGGAGCCCCCAGACTCTGTTAGACAGCACAGTCTAGATATGCCCTTGTTATGTTTTACCCAAGTCTTCGGACGTAGAAAGTCCGAAGCTAAGATAGGAGGATGGAAACAGATCTTGGATAACGGGGCTGCAGGCGTGATGCTGGGGTCTGCAGAGCCTGCTGCAGTCAGGCGGGCTCATATCTTGATGAGGTTTCTCAGCAGGCCTGAATAGGAGACTTCCAAATTGCAATGGAATTTTCAATCTGATCCATTTTTCTTAATTTACCTATCTCAGTAGGTATACTTCTTTCCTGTAGGGAAACAGAAGTAATACTTTAACCCATGTTGAATTCTAGACACTACAAATTCTTCAAAAAAGTCATTGTTTGCTTTGCGTGGACCCTAAAGCACAGGCTCCTGGAGGTCACGTGTGCTTGTGTGGACCCACATGCCCAGAGTCTGCATGCAGTAAGCTTGCAGTAAACATTCTGAATGACTTCTAAAAATCAGAGCTTTAGAACCGGGAAGGATCCTGAGAATTATATATTTTAACTCTTATTTTAACAAAGGAGATACTAAAGCTGAGTTGTCTTGCCAAAGTTCACAAAGTTAGTGATGGTAATAAGACTAGAACTCAAGTTCTTTTATGAAGGATTCTCTCTACTATGCAACAAAAGTAGTCACGTTAATGTTTCCTTCTAAAATAAACTTAAGACTTTTAATTTGCTTTTAATTATTTTTAATAATTGTTCTCCTGTATGAGTATGTATGTATGTGCTTATATATTTGTATATGGTTAGCTACCTCAGAGGCCCAGTATTTTCCCCTGTGAATATGTTATGCCCATTTTATTGATGATATAAATGGAGAGATTGGATTTGAAAATGTACTTTACAGAAACCCTCTCAGTTCTTTCTGTGCTATCAGCTTCTCTTTTTTCCAGTCTGCCCTTCACTCTTCTTGGGTCAGCTTAAGTCTGTCTCTTTCCTAAATGGACTGAGTGGGAAGGAGGGGGTGGGTAATGTCCAAGTGGGCAAACAGGTTATGTCTGTTAGTGAACACAGGTTGCACTAATCTTATTTCATTGGAATCTTAATAACTATAAAACAGAGTAAATGGTTTTTCTCCAGAGTCGTGTCAGATTTTTTTTGGAATCACCGCCTGCCTCTCCCAGGTAAGCATGGTTAGTTAGTCTGGGTTACTTACACATAACAGTTCTGAGTTTTCATATGATTGGATTTGTGACCTATTTGTAAACCAGTTTTAGAGAAGCTGTTTACTAAAGTGCATATTCAATATGACCTTATGACACACTTATCATTATTTAAATATTCATGCTTATTTTTAAGATTTAAAGTTTTAATGGCTGAAAATGGTCTTTGTAATCTAAAGAATTACAAAGATTTAAAACTTGAATATGAAAAAATAGTAAAAATGAAATTAAAAGATGACAAGGAAATTTCAGTCAGAAATAAAGGCACAGAATTTTCTTAATAAATAAAAGGCTCGTACAGATCAATAAGAAAAAATAAGACCTCAGTAGATAAGGCAGAAAAATGAATTTGCAAGTTTTTATAAAGAGGAATTATGAACAATAAGTATAACAAAACATTTGGTACACTTTATAATCAAAGACGTGGATATTTTAATAGCACTGAGATAAGAATTTTGGCTTATTGAATTTGTAACTGTGTGTCCAGTGCTGGTGGGGCTGCAGACAGGCTCCTCCTCGCTGGCAGGAGTGCACGTCAGTGCAGCACTTTTCTAGAAAACGCGAGCAGTGCCAGCAGCCTCAAAATGCTTATTCTCTTTCCCCTGCAGTTCTCTTTTTTAGAAATTTATCCCAAATTGATAGAAATAAGAGCAGATTGATGCCTAGATGTGTTCAGCACAGCATTGTTTATAAGACGGCAAAATTGGAAGATTTTGCCAATCACCCACTGTCTGAATGGTCAAGAAACCTGTTCTGTACATTTATGCAGTAGTCTGGCTACATAGCCATTTTTGAGTTCTGTTTTATGAAAATATGTAAAGACATGGGGAAGGTTTTAAGTGGAAAAGGCAGGATATAAAATATATAAGAAATACTTGAAAGGAGGGACCAAAATGTTAACAGTGGTTAATTCTGGGTAGTGAGAGAAGTGAATATTTAATATTTGTTTATGGTATTCTGTCGTCTCAACTCCCAGCTAAGAAAACCCTTAAACTATAAAAAACTATTATAAAAAATCAAGTTGGTATTGTTTAAACTCATTTTTAAATTACATAGGACATTTTGTTTAAAATTAGTGGTCATTGGGGGGAAACAATGCAATTTAGAGTTTACCATTTTATTTGACCTCACAGGCCTAGTCCCTTTCTGTAATTTTGGTGCTCTTGAGATGATATTTGTGAGAAAGTATTTAGTCCCCTGTCTCTGGAGGCCTTTGAGAAAGGGGCCTCTCGAGGACATTAGGTGGGATGAAGAGGAGCTGGAGGCTAGTCTGCTGTTTTCTCATGCCTTTGTGATAGAGGCTTATGGAGCCAGGTAATATTTAGGCTAACATAGTTAGATTGTTAGCCAGACTCAGCTTTTCATACAGATGGTGTCACCAGCCTGAATTTGATCCCTTCTCTGTTCCAGCAATCAGTAAGTTGAATTATTGTTACTATGTTTTTGTTTGTGTCTCTTCCAAATTCTGGAAGTTCTTTAACGTTGTAAAATCCTCTCTTTTTGTTTTTACTACATCAATTTAATAGCCATCCTTGAAAAATTGGCTTTTTTTCCCCTCTTAAGATCAGGAATTTTGTTAATATTTGTATTTTTCAGTGTTTTTTACATCTGTGTTATAAATGTATATTTACTTGATGAGAATCTTTAAAGTTGGCTAAAATGAAAACCTTTTAATGATGGGTACTGCTGTCACATGTAATTTTTATTGTTTTCTTTATACTTCTCTGTATGTTCCAAATTTACAATAAAACATCAGAAAAGTTTTAAAAAGTAATTACTACTACTCCTTATGGATAAAGACAGTGTACTTTGGCTAAAACGTGAATTTTGCGTTTAATTATATTTGAATTGATTGGATTTCTGGGTTCAGAGATTCAGAGCCCGCCATCGAGAGGGTTCAAATTGACTGAGAAAGGGAGAGAGGAAGAGGCTGAGGGCAGGGAGTCCTGTGGATATTTTCAGGGATCAGGGTCACAGTGACATGGTGTTTAGCATACCTGACTTGAGAAAATAAATAAAATCAAAAGTCTGTGAGTATAAGATGATTACAGGGTTTTAAATTAGGTAAGTAGATGTTATTAAATATTAACTATGAGTGTAGCGTGAGAGAACACTTTCAGTTTTGGAGAGAAATAACTAACGGTTATATTTAACAAAGGTTATAATATATGTAATAAATTATTATGTAATACACCTAATACATAAGGTTATAGTGTGCATAATACGTACTACATGATTTCTAAATCGGGTGGCACGTGTATTGATGTATAAGTCAGAAAAGAAGGCTGCAGTGTGGACTGCAGGGTTAGGAAAGCCTTGATGGAGGATGTAAGATTTGAGTGGGCCTGAAAGAATGGGCAGAATTGGAGTAAAAATGGGGAAGGGAGAGAGTGTTCCAAATAGAGCAAGATGGAAGGAGAAATCAGGCAGGCCCCGAGGCTAGTTATGAGGACACTGGCATCAGAACAAGGTTGTGTATGGGGTGTAGAGGAAAAGAATGATTGGGTAGGTGGGTGGCAGAGAATAAGGAAAAGCATGAAACTTGGATGAGTTGGAACTTGATAAAGTAGCCAGCAGGATGCTTGCTTACCTTTTTTTGTTATTTAATTTTGGATTACAAATGTTTGCATTAGAACATTTGGAAAACACAGAAAAAAGCAAACAATTAAAATCACTTGCGATGCTGCAGGTAAAACTGGTCTGGGAGCTGTGAGCGTGACATACAGGGCAGGGTAGAAATGCGAGTTCCGACAGGAGGGAAAGTCACAATCTTGTAGACTTGGGGTGAAGGTTTGGATTTGGGTTAGCACTGTGTAAGTGAAGGTGCAACATGGCCCCTAGGAACAGATGGGAATCAGCAGGTCTCGGTGACGTGGGAATGTTGTGGTGTGGAGAAAGAGAAGCCAGCACTCACAGTGCTCCTTTGCATGCCAGGTCCTGGGGTAGATGGTTTCACGTTGGAATCATTAGTCAAAGATGATTTCCTTGTATCAAACTAGAAGCAGTGGTAAAGTGATAGCATCCAGCATCATTGCTGGAGATGGGAAACAGAGGGGACCCTGATTTCTGGTGGAAGATGATGAAGTTGATTTGAAACACGTTGAGTTTGCGATGTTGATCAGCTGTGCAAATGTAGGGCCTTGGAGATGTGGTATAAAGGCCTGAGAATGATTAACTTCTTGCAGAGAGAGGAGCACATGGCCAGGAATAGAGCCTTGAGTAATACCATGCATACTTAAGGAGATTTGGGAAGAAAGAGAACTTGAAAATAAATAGAGATGATATTGGAGGAGTAGGATATCAGTTTTAGAAACCAAGGATGAAGTCAGACTTAGCAGTTTTGTTTTTATTGCTGGGAAGTGGCAGCGTCCCAGGTAAAGGTGTAGCGCATTAGTTTGTACCAGGTAGTTGCACGTAGCTGTATGTGTTCCTTCAGTCCTGTTCTGTGCCCTATGAGAAGGAGGAGAACCAGGATGTGGACAGTGACACGGGACTGTTGATTGGCTCGGTGGCCATCATACAGGCTTAGGGGTCTAAGTAGGTCTCGGGTTCTGGGCTGAGAAGACACAAGCGTGGGCAGCAGAGGGTCGGGCAGGGGGAGAGTGGAGAGCCCATGAAAAAATCGAGTTGAGGAAGCTGTGGTAGAGACTAGCCGTCTGAATTCTCAGGGGTGGACGCGAGTCACTTGAGGATGTGGTCTGGGGGGTGGCCCAGCTGGTAGTTTTATCCAGGTGTGAAACTCATCATGGGGAGGGGTTGGAGCTGTGATCAAAAAGGTGAATTTGGCAAGACCTGTGGTGCTATTTTAAATCCTTTTAGCAAATTCATTAGGTAAAAAAATGAGGATCCAGAATCAGTGTGATTTTTATGGATCACTTAACTATGCATTATTCTCACAGTTCATCACTTATGATGATGAATTGAAATCCCCAGTGTGTGGGGTAAAATAAGAAAAAGCCCTGCTTTTAAGTTCCGAAAGATTATTCGAATAAGGGTGGGGAAGGTTTTACTTGATAGTAGTTCATATGAAGAAACCTTGGTTAAGAAACGTACACTGAGAGCACTGATATTTTGTTGTTGCTAAAAAATCTTATTTCAGCTTTAAGATTAACAAACATATATACAGTGTGCAGCTAAGGGACTTTGGTTCAGCTAATACCTGATGAGTATTTCCTTTGTGACAGAAACAATGCCAAAGGGTACAAATAAATTAAGATAGGATTTCTCCTCCTAGTAAATGTACAGTCTAGAAGGGGGACAGACGTGTGAACAAACGCAGTGTGTTGTAACGGCCACAAAGATAAAAGTGGGTACAAGGTGTGGAGATAATACTGGGAGGGAGCGATCACCAGTTGAGTCTCCACCTACTGGAGACTCTGGGTGTCTGCATCTCTTTCTGAACGCTGGCACACCTGCACACACATGCACAGGCACACACCGGGCAGAACTCCACCTTTCGTAGGACTGTTTGCTTGGTGGTTCTCAGTGACCTTCTGTCTTTTCCCCGTCAGGGTGTTGATACAAGCTGGAGCTCTTTGTTGGAGTCTTCCAGAGCTGTCCCAGGGAGAGGTAGGGAAGGGAGCTTGTGCCAGCTGAAGTTGGGAAGCACAGACATCATCTGCCTTCTTCTGACCCGGTATTGATGCAGGCCGAGGCCTCTGTTGTAATATGCTGGGTAGGTTTTGGGGAATAGGTCAAGAGTCTGATGGAGAGCCTGGCCAGGGTCATAATTTAAATCTGGAAGACTAAAAATAAAAGCCCTTGCCATTCTGTATCTCAATCAACAAATATTTCTTGACTGCCTACCCATGTGCCTTGCACTGTACTAGGTATCAGGAAAGATACTAAAGAAGCTTAAGATGTAATTCTTATGTAAGACTCTGGTCTTTAATAAGTAGGATTATAGTTCGTAATCAAGACTGGACAAGGAGAAATTCATGTGAGCTAGAACCAAGGACTGTCTTATTGGGGATGTGAGACCTCAAGGAGAAGGGCGGGCGTTTCTGATTGGTATAAAGGGAAGCATTTATTCAATGGGGACGTAAATGCAATTGTGGTCCTCTGCTCCAAGTTCCTAGAGAATAGTGGGGGAAAAGACCAATGAGCACACAGATACGGAGTGATGAGCATTTAGATTTTGTGCAGCATTTAGATTTTTTTGTAGAGTGGCAGCGGTAGCTGAGCTGCATCTTAGAGCCGTGGTCATTGAGGGCAGGGAAGGCCTGGAGGCAGAGAAAGCATAGCGTGGTTAGCAAGGTTGAGGAGTGTCCTTAAATATGGTGATAGGGTTAGGTGCACAGTGCGAGTGGTGCTAGTGAGCAGGAGGAGGTGGCCAGCAGCCAGATGGGCCAGGAAGGGCCTGAGACACCATTCTGAAGTTTCTGGATCATAGCCTTAAAGCATTGAGGAGACAGCCAAGCTTTACTAGCTGAGAGGATAGACTTGTAGATTAGAAAGATTGCTTTAAAAAAAAGAAAAGCACTTTCCCCCAGTTATAAAATTAATGCTCTTAAAAATTTGGAAAATACAGAAAAGTATAAAAATGAAAATAAAAATATCCCCATAATCCTGTTACCACTAGGTAGCAATTGTTAGCATTTTGGTGTGGAAAGAGCATTCTTAACTATTGATTATGCTGATACAGATTTGTTAAATGAGTTGATGTGCATGTTTGAAGTCATTTAACCCAAACATACATCAGTGAAGAATCTGGATTGTGGAAGTTTTCCAAGTTGATGGGAGCTCGTTTTTTGGAGATCCTGTGTCAATTCTGGGGCTCCCCTCCTCCCTCTCTGATGGTCTTTCCACAGCAGTATGCGGCACCCTCTCGAGACCCACGTCTGTGATGCAGGCCAGATAGGGTATAGGACTGCAGTGACTGTCGTCAGTAAAGCAAAAATAATACTCAATTGATGTGTGGCCAAACCTTTGTAACAAGGGCATATCTAGATTCTGTTTTTTAATTTCATTTTTAATAAAGATTATATAATGATTCATTGGAATAATCTGAATTATCATATAATTAAATCACTCCTCTCCAAATGCTGCAGGATATAAATGTTTTTGTGAAAGCCTGTAATAAAAATAACAGTCTTCTGATACAATCTTCTGAAATGTGACGTGGACTTACTAAATTAAAGAGATATAAAATAATGATTTTTAAAGGTGATTTTATAAAATTAACGTGTTCCTGTTAGTATTCATAGAGTAATGTGGAGCGCAAAATAATTTCTAGAAATGTTTATAAAATGGATGAGAGTAGATGTGGAATGTTAGATTTTTAGCAAGCTGAATAATGGCAAGTAAAAAGAAAAAAGCATGCTGTTTATCACTACTTTTAAAAAATTAACTTGAGACGAAGTCCAGAATTCTTCACTGTAATTCTCAGTAAATTATCCAGAAAAAAATTGAGTTGGTCAAATGATTTTCTTAGAATGCACACTCACACCTTTATTTTTCTTAAGCGTTTCGTCTTTCAGACTAAAATTTTATTTTTTAGACCTTATTTTTGGTAGTAACTACCCTTAGAGAAGCAGTATAGAACAGTGGGAAAATACAGTTTGGAATTAGACCTGGGATTTAAAAGTCTGCTTTTCTGATTATTAGCTGCAGTTTTTCTGAGTTTGTTTCCTGGTCTGTAAAATGGGGCTTCAGATTCCTGCTCCACATCGCGGTCGTGAGGATTCAGAGCAGACAGAGCACTTGGCACAGTTCCTGGCACATAGTAGGCAGGCAATAAATGGTAGCTGTGTGTTGTTATAGTGACATCAGCCATTCTATCTGGAGCCTTTATCACCTAGGCAAGCATTACATTTATTCCTTTTATGCTTGCCTTATTTCTTTTCTGTGTTAAATAATGTTTACATTTTCTCCTGAGCTTACAAACCACTGTATTTTTATCTTTTCATTTTATGCATTTCATAATTAGAATTTATTTGTTATCCATTAATGATTAAGGAGCTCCTTAAGTATGATTTTGATACTGCTGATGTATTTAAGCATTTTCAAAAATGATGCAATTGGAAGCTGGAATGGTATACTAGTTCTTTCTGCTTTTTTCCCCCTATCATTTTTGTTATAGAATGAAACAATCCTCCAATCAGTCTTTGGAGTGAGGATCTAAGTATTTTTCCTGTTCATTTGGTGACGAGGCAAAAAAAGTTATGTCTATAAAACTATTATGATAGGAATAAAAGTTTTTATTGTAATAAGCAAATAGCTACCAGCTTATCTATTCTTCCCACTAATACCCTTAGGTTATTTCATTTAATAAGGGAGAAAAGTAGATAAAGCAAAAGTGTTATTCTGTCACAATGTATTTTAATAATCAAGTAAACAAGTAGACATGCCTAGATTGAAATGTATGATGAAAGCCTGATTTCTGATCTTCTGTCAGGTATCATCTGGAGACAGAAGTGCCCTGTGGGCTTTGCTTACTTTCTATGGAGGGGATTGCCAGCTGAACCTCAACAAGAAATGCACACACTTGGTTGTTCCAGAACCGAAGGGGGTAAGCATTTCATGTACGTTCTCCTTTTTATATGTCATTTAACTATTTCCAATAATCAACTGTCTTTTTTGAACTTCTTTTAAACTAATTATTAGATTCCATTTACAAAAGCCGATTATATTAGTTTATATTATTTATACCCAGCTTCATTCCACAAAAGATGTGAGATAATTATAAATTTTATTTTGAGCCAGATGTGACTTATAAATACAAAGAAGTAGGGGTTTATTTCATGGAGAAAATAGGAAAGTTTTTTGAATTTCTAGAGTTTCTTTTTAAGTCCAGTGCAACTTCGGGTCATTTTTATTTGTGAAAATATGTATTTTCAGTCCTCTTCACAATTTTTAAAAAGGCCTTGTACTGAGCATAATTATAAACATGCATTTGGTGAAGTTTTCAAAATAATTTCCTTCTTAATAATCTGGAATATATAAAACTACATTTATCTTGATAAGCACAGGGCTCTGTATCTCTAAGCACTGGTGGGGCCATAGGGATTTGGTTCCCCAAGCGGGGTTCCCAGGTCAGCAGCGTCAGCCTCCCCTGGGGACTTGTTAGAAGTGCAGACTATCCAGCCTGCCCAGACCTAGTAAATCAGAACCTGGTGAGGAGAGCGGGGAGCCCAGTCATCCATGTCAAGGCCTCCCAGCGATTCTGACACACAGTAATGTTTGGGAACTACTGTTCTATGGAAATCACACTTTTTTCCTCCCATGAGCAATTATTTATAACTTTAAGAATTAGGTATAGTATATTTACGATAGAAAAGTCTTTTTTTTTTCTTTTTTTGTGAGGGAGATCAGTCCTGAGCTGACATCTGCCAATCCTCCTCTTTTTGCTGAGGAAGACAGGCCCTGGGCTAACATCCGTGCCCATCTTCCTCCACTTTATATGGCACGCTGCCGCAGCGTGGCCTGACAAGCGGTGCCTTGGTGCACGCCCAGGATCTGAACCCTGGCCGCCAGCAGCGGAGCACGTGCACTTAACTGCTACGCCACGGGGCCAGCCCCTAGAAAAGTCTTTTGACTAGTTAATTTTCCCACATATCAGTCATTACCTCTATTTTTTTTCTTATTGCCTTCAGTCTGAATGTACGTTGTCATTCCATTATTTCATCTGAGTGCACCGCCTCACAGCAGGGGGAGAAAGGAGTGTGCTGTGCGTGGCCAAGGCCCTGGCGGGGTGGAGAGTGGAGGGCTGACACAGACCCAGCCTGCCCGAGGGTCCCCTCTGTAGACTTGTGGACACTGGGCAGAGGCAGCCTGGGAATGTGTGCTCCTGCTCATGCCCATCTCCTCACGGGAGGGTAAATTTTGAGCTGATGAGTTTGATTGTAACTTAGTAAACCACTCAATCCAAGAAGAAACTTTTCTGTGAAAATTTAAGAAGTGAATCTTGAAATCTGTATAAGTAAAAAATTACATTTTTCATAACAATTTAAGAGAGAAATAGTATGCTTTGGTTAAATAGTGTAGGGGTTCTTTTTATATCAATATTGATGTGTGGCTAAAAATAAATCATTTGATTTTAGATAGCTAGTTTGAAGGGAAATGGAATCCTGTATAACTCTTGTAACTATGAGTGAATACTTAAGAGTCAAGTGGTAATTTCAGAGGCGTTACATGAATAGAGTGGATTTGTCAAACAGACTAGCTGACTATACACAAAAATAAATGGCATCTCTTTTAATTATTTTTTTGATGAATTCATAGAGAAAATGTGTAAATGACATAATGAAACTACCTTTTGTGTTCTTGAATTTTAAAAAAGTTTTTGTTTAAATTGAGAAGAATGGAGGAGTTTAATAACTAAATCAACAGAAAAACGAAGTATGTTTCTTAGTCATTGGGGGAAAGGGGCTGGTTTGTAGTGCTTGCGGATTTCCGGGTGTAAATACTCCCATGGGGCTGAGGGCAAAGTTGGGAAGAGATGCACGGGATCAACCAGCCCTGCTGCTGAGTACACCCCGACCCTGCCAGACTTCGCTGTTGGCTCCTGAGCTCTGTGACACTGAGTAATTTATAGTTTTGAGGATTTCAGAATTAGAATAACATAGCTGGTGAATTAGCTCAGGCAAAGGCATTTGACATTGCTTTGCTCTTAAGTCACCTTGTTTAAGCAGTAATTGTCTTTCAGTGACAAAAACTACTTATTGGTGAGAGAAAACTTGAGTGAAATATAAGGCAGTTTACTTAAGTGCTGTACTTAGATTTGCATAGGAAATAGGTCATTCCTGGAACATAGGCTGCCAGCACCCTGTACCCACGAGGAACTCAAAACTTCTCCACAGTGGGTCCCAGCTCTAAGTATGAAGTCCTTTTTTTAATATCCAGAGTGTTCAGTGACTCCGCTTTATGGCAGTGGTTTTATTTTCGGTATTTAACAGAATTAAAAAACACTTTATTTCATATTTTATTATTTCAATAAACATCTTCCTAGTTAGGGAAATAATATATAAACCATATTATATATATGTTATTTGTCCATTTGTTGTATATTTATATTATTTATTTAGTTTATAAATATTTTGATGTGTACCTGGACTTGATGTTTTCCTAAGGTCACTCTGTGGCTTTTCTGGGATGGGAAGTCCAGAAACTAAAAGTCTCTAGTCTGTTGTAGAAATTTATCATCTCTATTTACTGTGGGATGATCTATGTACATTTCCTACTTAAATATTTCAGAATAACATGATTTTTAGAGTAAGGAGTAAAAAATTTTATCATCAAGGGTGTGGGTAAATTGATATACTCCTATATAGGTGGCGGTATAGCCTTTTTTCAAGGGAAGTATAGTTATAGATATGAAGTCCTAAGGTATTTTTCGTACTTGAACACCAAAATCTAGGAATTTATCATATGTAAACAATTTAGGATATGTGTGTAAAGATTTACTGCAGTTTTTCATAGTAACAAAACACTAAATAAACACTAGAAATAACTAGAATAACTAAATAATAATCCCTGACACCAGGTGATTTCCTGAATTATACAGCTGTCCAAAAGAATAGGGTGCTTATGTTAAAAGTACTGTGTGCAACTATAAAATGAGTTTTGAGACTGTTGGGGAAATTCGCGTAAGTGCTGGGTATGAGATGGTATTAACACCTGTCGTGGATTTCATAACATGGTGGTTTATTAGCTGGAGATGTGTAAACAAAGTCATGGAGACAATCGATAAAGCTTGACATCAGGAGGTTGCCAGTTACGGAAGCTGGGTGATGGGTGCAGGGATTTATTACATGGCTCTCTCTACTTTGGAGTATAGTTGAAAATGTATATTAAAAAAGTTAAAACAAAAGTGCCTGTGTAAAATTGTACATGTTGACATAGGAGATTGTTCATAATATGTTAAGTGAAAAAAGCACATTATGAAAAGTATTTGTACACTGCAACAATATGGTTCCTCCCTTCACCTTTTTAATATATGTACGTATAATTTTATAACAAAATTAAAACACTAAAAATGTAATCTTGTGGTTATGATTACTTTCATTTTTCTTTTGCTTTGCTTTTTATTTATGTGTTTGCCCATGATTAAGTTTTACTTGTATTTTGCAAAGGTTTAAGATAGAACATCCTCAGAAGTAACAGGAAGTTAAATCTCTTCTCTTGTGTGGATCTTACTCTTTCCCAAGCCATGGGTCTGTCTGTGTGGTGTGTCCATGCTCAGCACCAGGTCCCCCACAGACTCGGGGCTGAAAGTCCTCCTCGGTTCTGCTGCTGCCGGTGTAGCCCTGCCCTGACCAAACGCAAGTGCCGCCCCCATCTCCACAATAGGAATGGGTTGTAGTTTAGAGTTTGTCAGAGCATTGCTGTCATCCTAGGCTTTTAGAAGCGGATGGGGGAAATTCTCTTAGTTAACTGAACCATATTTCCGAACTCATTTATTTTAAAGCTACTTTATCGTGTTACTCTTGTTTGAAATTTTCCATTTATTTCCTTTTTTCTTTGGCACAGTCCGTTCTCCACTTACGCTGAGCCCTCTGCCTGTCAGCGCTCCTCGCCTAGTGCTCCAGGCACACCTTTTTCACTGTGCCATCTTTTCTGCCCTCTAATCATCACCAGCCAGACCTCACCCTCCAGTGGTGCTTTCCCAGAGTGTTGAGCTCATTGGTAGACCCTTTTCTGCTCATATTCCCATGTCACTTGGCGCTGGGTTTATATTGTATTCTCACTGCGTATTTGATTTCTCTTCAGAACTAAGTTGTGAACCTCACTGGGTCAGAGACTGGTTGCGTCCTTTGTGTCTCATATGGAAGGAGCTCGATAACTCCAGATAACTGATTAAGACGGCACTCCCATGAGAAGTCAGCCCCACTCATGACTGTCCCTGACGTCCTGAAGGTGCTTGGCCCCACAGTTAGAGTTCCGTACAAATTGTCAATAAATAAAAACTAGATTAGATGGTAGTTATTCATTTCATTCATAAGAGAATTTTCCATAGGATTCCTAGCTCTACTTTTGTGTCTAAAATATCATTTATAAAAGTTAATTTTAAACAAAATCTTTTAAGACTACTATTGCAGGCATAAGACTATCCATCTAAAAGGAGTGTGAGCTTTTCCTGTGTATAAGATGGCGATAACAGGTGCTGAACATTTCAAATGCATCTCTCTCCTAAAGTTCTTTTTATAATGCACAATTCTAGGAAATTTGATAAAACTTACAGCTTTGTTTCTGTGTGTGTGTGCTTTACTCGTAGGAGAAATACGAATGTGCTTTAAAGAGAGCAAGTATTAAAATTGTGACCCCCGACTGGGTCCTGGATTGCATATCTGAGAAAACCAAAAAAGATGAAGCATTTTATCATCCTCGTCTAATTATTTATGAAGAGGAAGAAGAGGAAGAAGAAGAGGAGGAAGAGGTAGAAAACGAGGAACAAGATTCCCCAAATGAGGGTAGTACAGACGAAAAATCGAGCCCTGCCAGTTCTCAAGAAGGATCTCCTTCAGGCGAGCAGCAGTTTTCACCCAAATCAAACACAGAGAAATCTAAAGGGGAATTGATGTTTGATGATTCTTCAGATTCATCACCTGAAAAACAAGAGAGAAATTTAAACTGGACCCCAGCTGAAGTCCCACAGTTAGCTGCAGCAAAACGCAGACTGCCTCCGGGGAAGGAGCCCGGGTTAATTAACTTGTGTGCCAATGTGCCGCCCGTCCCTGGCAGCATCTTACCACCTGAGGTCCGGGCTCACTTAATGGCTTCAGGACAAAATCTCCAAAATGCTGAGAGGTCAGAAATGATAGCTACTTGGAGTCCAGCTGTGCGGACATTGAGAAACATTACTAATAATGCTGACATTCAGCAGATTAACCGACCGTCAAATGTAGCACATGTAAGTCACTCTTTAAAAAACAAAAATTTAAATATTGGATTTTAGAATTGGATGTCACAGTCTATTTCAATATAGTTTATTGTTTTCTGCTTCTTCAGAACAATTAACTTACAAGCAGTATTGTGTGAGAGCTTGTTTTATAGTCTTTTATATGTTTGTGTGTGTGTATATTTATATATTTCAGTGTCACGAATTGTGTCAAAAGAGGGTGGCACATGCTTTTAGGTTGAGACCTAACACTGCTGAGTGGAGCCAGTGATGGGGCACTCTCCGTTGTTGAAGAAGGGTTCCCACTCTTACTTAGTTTAGACTTAGCATGGCAGCAAGAGAAGGATGAAGTTTACCAGCTATTCCTTATTTGTTTATCATGAACTTCACGGTAGATAAATACCATAACATAAATTAATTTATTCACTGAAGAAGCCTTAATCTCAGTTTATAGTTTTATAATTGGAGCTTGTTGATACAGAATGGACCTTAAAGGTTTTGGTAGATGTTTTTCCATGTAAGACAGAAAGAAGATAGTTGAGGTGGTATGTTGGCCACTGTTTTCATTTTTGTGGGCATTGGAGGCAAAATGGTAAGAAAAACAAGTCCCTGCCCTTGTCTTAGGTGGAGAAGATAGACAGTAGGCAGACAGATATGAACAAAAGGGCTTCTGATGGGTACAGATGTTTTAAAGACAGTAAAAAGGGGTCATGTAATAGCAGGTGGGGGAAGGAGTTTCTTTTAGGTTTGGTGGTCAGGGAGGGCCTCATGAAGGAGATGACTTAAGTCAGGGTTGAATGACAAGGAGCCATGGGAAGAACTGACGGAGAGAGTTCCACGCGAAAGGAACAGCAACTATGAAGACTCAAAAGTAGGCATGAATGTGCTGTGTTCTAAGTAAAGAAAGCCAATGAGATTGAACTTAGTGAGGTGAGTGGGTGGGTGCTAGGAGAGATTTAAAAGGTCTCGTCCTAAAGGTAAGGAGCACGGAATTTCTCCCAAGGAAGCCACTGCAGGGGAGCTAGTAGGGGTGATCAAATACATATTTCTTGTTATAAATCACAGTATCACAGTTGAGTATCATAATGGTAGTGGTTTTAAAAAGTCTTTATTGGTTAGAGATACATAAAAAAATTGTTCTTCCTTCCCTCCCTCCCACGGGTTAAACAGTGAATAATTGGTAATCAAGGTTCTGGGGATGCTGTAGGAGGATGGCATCCAGAATAAGGTAGAAGAAAACACATCCTTTAGATACTAAAGGGAAGAAAGTTCAGATGGTATGAGGCAAGAAGGGTAGAGCATTGGGCATGGGAGGGAGAGTAATCAGGGATTTGAGGAGGATAGAAGATTTTGAAATAGTTGATACAGAGATTCTGGGAAGACAGTATTGCTGGACCTGTTAGGGCCCAGTTTAGGTTGGTGACCAAAGCTTAGGATATCAACAAGAGTGAATAAAGTAGACTCTAACACAGGTGGGAGAAGGTAGAGGGGCCAGGGGCGATGGAGAACAGTCTCAGTGGAATGGACATCCTAGAAGGAAAAGCAGGGGTGGTCAGAGCGGGCAGGTGTGAATGAGCAGTTCTAGAGGTGCGGTGGCTTGGGGTGATGAAAGACGGGGGAGCAAGGTTACACAGCAGTAGCTGACAGGTCACATTCTGCCTGATACATTTAGTTTGATCCAGATTTTTTGTTTTTAATTAGATTTATTTGGCAAAGTCATGAGATTCTCCATAAAAATGGGATTTCTGGCCTATCTTGAGAAGTGGATGATGTAATAAAACACTGAGCTGGTATTTTATTTTTGCTGAGGAAGATTTGCCCTGAGCTAACATATGTTGCCAATATTCCTCTATTTTGTATGTGAGCTGCCGCCACAGCATGGCCACTGAGTAGTGTAGGTCCGTGCCCGGGAACCAAACCCGGGCCGCCCAAGCGGAGTGTGCTGAACTTAACCACTAGGCCATCAGGGCTGGCCTTGATCTGGTATTTTTAAGTCTGAACGGTAGCAGTTCTTTGTGGCTGAGCAGCAGCTGCCCCCTTTGGAATGAGGTTCCTTCTGTGTGCTCAGTTCCCACACCCCATCTGCATTACCTGTCTCACTGCACTTTTTATTACCTGCTGGGGCCCTGGTGGTAAATTTGAATTGCTACAGCTGCAGCCTGGAGGGTGACTGGGAACGAGGAGAAGGTCTCTGAGACGAGGTGGTCAAAGAACAGCAGGCCAGGCTTGTCCAGATGGTGTCCATGCTCACGTAGAGTCACGGAAGCTCAGTGCTTGGGGGTCCAGGGGCATCAGCACCCAGGAAGGGGAGTGGGTGGTAAAGCCATGAAGCAAAGCCGAGCAGAGGTAATGGTCAGAAAGTCATACTGGAAGCCAGAGGACTTAGGGAGGGTGGGAAAGGCGATGTCAGGATGACACGCTGGAGGTAAGGAGTGGGGAAGAAATTAGAGGTTAGAGGCGAGGAGACTGGAAGGTGAGCCAGTTCTGGAGAGGCGACCTGGAATGTCCAGGTGGACTTGTCCGGGTGGCAGACAGGTGTGAGACGTGCACTGAAAGGATCTGTCTCACAGGGTTGGTGTGAGAATTGAATGAACTAGTGTCCAGAGCCTTCGGCAGCTCAAGGAACGTTACTTTCTTCCTTTCTTTAGTTGAGAAATTATGAATGCAAGTCATCCATTTAAAGTAGAATGGAAATGTTCTTTGCTCTTTATTTATTTGCAGTGTAGAAAGTACTGTTGATCAGTTACTGATCATTTCTACTACATTCTGTATTTTGCAAATCCAATGCATGTTGGCTTAAATCCCAAGTTTCCTAAATTTGTACTGCCATGCACCGCATAACGACGTTTTGGTCAATGATGGACTAAATATACGACAATGGTCCCATAAGATTAGTACTGTAGAGACTAGGTGTGTAGTAGGTTATACCACCTAGGTTTGTGTGAGTACACGGTATGGTGTTTGCACAAGGATGAAATCGCCTGATGATGCATTTCTCAGAACGTGTCCCCGGCGTTAAGCGACGCATGACTGTATTTGGGTATAGAGATAAAATAATCTCATTTGAAATGGAAATAAGTGATTACCCCAGGGAGTTTGGGCATATCTCTGCTTTTGAAATTGTCCTGCAGGTAAGACATCCTTAGAAGACGAACTTGATCCACTCAGCTGTGGACTCTAGAGGTGGAAAACTGGGAAGGCTCCCTCCAGCTCTAGTGAGTGAATGGATCTGGTCACTAATGAGAACAGTTGCGAAGAGATTTTCTGAGAGTTTTCCAGCAATGTAAGAACATTAGGACATTTTACTGCTAGATGTGAAGAAAATGAATTTTTGAAATGTTAGAAATATAAGACAGATTTAGTTTAAAACTAGATCCGGGGTTTGGGGAAACAGCTAACCATCAAAATCCTGTTTAAATGGCAGACTTTTAGTGGTTAGGTTAGGATCCGTGTGGTATGTGTTAATGCTTTATATATTGTGGCACTCAGCATTAGGTAATTTAAGCAAGGACTATGACAGCTATGAAGGAAAAATTCACACTTCACATTCATTAAAAATTGTTGTTTGCAGTATGGCAAATTATGTGATCAAGTAATTAAGAATCTTTTTTCTCAATTCTTTAGGGCTAACATATGTTTTCACCCTGAGGCAGATCAGAGGGTTGAAAAAGCCATCTGATGAGTACAGAAGGTGTTTTAAGAGGCATCTCAATGGCTGGTCCTCCAGGGTACCTGCTCCCCAGCCAGGCCTGCGCCTTCAGACCCGCACTGGCCTGCCAGGTGCATGACTTTCTAGGCCAGTGTCCATCTTCATTCCCAGCTGGGGCTTTCGTCTTGAATCTCCATCTGCTCCAGGTGGCCTTCCTGTCACACCGTGGCCTGCCTCAGCCCCCTCAGATTGTGGTCACCCATACAGAAGGCAAACCCAGCCGTATCCTCCCGGCATCTCTGAGAAATGAGAGCTGAGAGGAACAGCCTCTAGCTCCAGGCACTCTTGCTGGCCCTCCTAATGTAAGCCCCCTTTGTGTGCGAAGGTCCTTCAGACCTTCCAGACCTCCCCTTTGATCTGGGGCTGGGGGTACAGGGGGAGCAGCTATGGCAAACAGCTGGCTTATCCCTGTTCATTATGGCAGACAGGTGTTTATTTCCTTATTACCTATCAAATTTACATGAACTGTTTACTCCTGAAGGTGAAAAAATAATATATGTATGAAATAAAAAAATTCAACGGTACCAAAGCCTATAAAGTGATGTTAAACTCCTTCCCACCCCTAACTCCCATTTCCCTCCAGAGGCAGCCACTGTTAGGACCAATTTCTTGTGTGTGGGCTCACGGCTGATGGACATACACACAAGCAAGTGTCCCCCTCCCCACCCTCACATGCTTTTTCATGGAAATGTTAGCATCCCAAATGCTGTTCTGCTAGTTGGGCATGGTACACGGTGGGGTTTGTTTCCCCTTCCACTTTACTGGGTATCGTAATACTTTTAAGTATAGAGAAGAAACTGTTACCGTGTTATTTACAGATTTGTTTAAAAATTTATTTTCTGTTTAGAGCTCAACTGAGGAGTTCTTGAAGTATTGAAAGAATCTCCTTATAGAGATGTCTTATCTATAAGGTGATTTCAAAGACAGATGTACCCAAGCTCTTGAGTTTGACTTATTTCAATTTTAAACTCAATTTTTTCGTCACTAAATCCAAAGTCTATTACCCTTGCAAATTATATAACCTTTATGTTTTGGAGTCTGTTTAAGTGGAAGATATATGTTAAAAACGTATTTGAGATTTTCGTATAACTGGTTTATGTTAAATTTCTAGAGTTTTATTTAAATGATGAGTATGCTTTTAATAGGGGTAAGTTGTAGTGATTGAGTTTTAGTAAAATCTATTTGATTTACTGGATTCCATGACCGTAAGAAGTTGGCTTCCCATTTGTGTCGTTTGAGCATGTTGGAAAAGTTCATTGTGTCACATGTTTCTTTTGTTTTATTCAGCACTGTGTGAGGTAGTCAAGTAGCCTGCAGTCTGATGCTCGGCTTGGTGCTACCTCCTAATTACTTGTCCTGCCCCCTCCCACCCCTCAGCTTATACAGAGCTCTCAGCTTACTCCTGTCATTGTAAAGCAGAAGGAACTAGAGGGAAAATAGTCTGGCCAGTAGGATTTTCTCTAGCCTGAAACATTTTTGTCCCATAAAGAGCTCCAAGTCATTTTTGAAGAAGGCCGATTTACCAGCTATACTGATGGTTTCTCCGTTGTGAGAACGTTCACCAGTTAAGCAGACCCACAGGTGGTGTCTTTTCTGTTCCTCATATGGAGCATGCCGGTGCACAGAGCAGGGTGAGCGCAGAGGAGGAGAGGCCGGCGGCTCTGATGGGGTCAGCTGCTGTCCGGGATAGCTTGGTCCCACTGGAGGTGCTCTTCATGTGTGCCTCTCACTGGATGCCTTTCTTTGTGAGGAAATGGCAGCTGTGGAAAGGGGTCTTGGGTCAGGCTGCTGGGCACCCTCACTGCCTGTCATTGCCCGGAGCATCCCTTGGTTAAGAGAAGGTCTGTGGAATGGACGGGAGGGAGAGGGCACCAGAGAGGCCCTGTGCATTGCAAGGTGGTGCTCCGGCTCTGGCGCCCAAGGCCCAGGAAGTAAATAGGACAGAACACCTCTGTTTTTTTTGGCTACCTTGTCACTTTGTGTTCTATAAAACACATAAGCCATATGAGTTTTTATGTTTGTCAACTTTAATTTGTTAGCTTATTCCATTTTACTTGTTTAGTTTCAAATTTTGGTGGTCTCAAAATGTGTGTTTACTTTATTGAAGTTGGTGATGCTTAAATACAGAAGAAGAATGCAGTATTGTTTTTGAAGCTTGCAGTTGTTTGGTGCTTCCCATTTAGTTGAATATTAAAAAAACATATAGGATATACAGTTATTCTCTTAAGAGAATATTAATACTCTTGATTAAGAGACTATTAGTATGATTGATAGTGACTGTCTAATTTTTGTTTTCTAGATCTTACAGTCCCTTTCAGCACCTACAAAAAATTTAGAACAGCAGGTGAATCACAGCCAACAGGGCCATGCGAATGCCAATGCAGTGCTGTTCAGCCAAGTGAAAGTGACTCCAGAGCCACATCTGTCACAACAGCAGCATGCGCCCCAGCCCCAGACGCAGCCGCAGCAGCACCCAGTTCTACACCTTCCACCGCAGCAGATCATGCAGCTCCAGCAGCAGCAGCCACAGATTTCTCAGCAGTCTTACCCCCAGCAGCAGTCGCATCCGTTCCCACAGCAGCAGCAAGTCCATCCGCATCAGTTCCCGCAGCAGCAGCTGCAGTTTCCACAGCAGCAGCTGCATCCTCAGCAGCAGCTGCACCGCCCTCAGCAGCAGCTCCAGCCCCTGCAGCAGCAGCATGTCCTGCAGCAGCAGTTGCATCAGCTGCAGCAACAGCAGCTGCAGCAGCAACAGCTCGCACAGTTACAGCAGCAACAGCACAACCTGCTGCAGCAGCAGCAGCGCCTGCACCAGCAGCAGCAGCAAATGCAAACTCAGACAGCGCAGCACCTGAGTCAGACGCCCCAGGGACTACAGCATCAGGCTGCGCCCCTGCAGCACCAGCACCCACAGCCGCAGCCGCCACAGCACCAGCTTTTTGGGCATGACCCAGCAGTGGAGAGTTAGTGATGTGGATTTTTTCTTAAGTCTTGTGCTTACATAAATGCTTTGCAAGTGTTTGAGGGTGGGGTAAGAATTCATATCAAAATAATTCTTGCAAAATGGGGAATGTGAACCTCGTAACTAACAAGGATAGAGTTATAATGATGGAGTAGTTACACCTTTGGTATTTTGGGACACCATGCCCTGAAGTGAACACGCGCTCCGTAGAATGTCGGGCTGCCACAGGGACCGGCGCAGGGTGTTCAGTGCTCGAGCAGAAACTATGTTGGTTTCATTTTTGAATCATTTAATATAGACAGTGAAGCTAGCGTATCTGTAGCACTATCCCAGATGTGCTCAGGCTCCTGTCGGATACATCACGATCAAGACTGATTAAGTTCATAAATTCAAATTGAACTCGGCAAAATGAACTTTTTTATTTTTTGCGCACACATATGCATGGGGTTTTACTTTCCCTTTTCTTGTATATTCTATTCCAGTTCCAGAAGAAGGCTTCTTACTGGGATGTGTGTTTGCAGTTGCGGATTATCCAGAGCAGATGTCTGATAAGCAGCTGCTGGCCACCTGGAAAAGGGTGAGGTTGTACCTGGAAGAAATGGAACTTTGTATTAAAGGTTTCCTTTCTCGTTTGGCTGCCCTCACTGAGATACATACATGTGTGTTCTGAATGTATTATGGGCATTTTTATTAACACTTTCTCTGTGACCTTGGTCAAATCACTTTTCTGGGCCTCAGTTTTCTAAGCTGTAAGGGGAAGATGTTGGACCTTATCATTCTTGAGGTTCTTTTCAGCTCTGAGATTCTCAGGGGCACAAATTATTTGTATATAACTGGGGGTGTGGGAGTAAGATCAGGTTTTTGGTGACCTAGGATAGGGACCATCGACTTGTATGTGCCATGTCATTTCTATCTCTCCAAAGGCGAGTGTTAGAAAATCCCGGACTCTCCAGGTTGGAAGGGATCTCCAAGTCTTCTAGTTCAGTTGTGGGACTGTAGTCCATTTATTTATTTATTCTGCATGGTGGCCCTTTCTTTTAAGAAAGAACACTTTTTCTTGCAATGCCACAATCAAAACTGAGTCAATTTTTTTTTAAACAAGTTTACGTATGCTTCAAATGCATCTTGAGTTGCTTCCCTGTAAGCGTTCCTGGTGTTTAAACTCCTGCTACATGCCAGGCGTGCTGTAAGACCTGGGGAATAGTGATGGATAAACGAGTTTGAGAAAATTGTAAACCAGTTGTAGAAACAGCCACATGCACAGATAATGGTGAGGCAGTAAGTAGGTGCAGGGAGAGCCCTGAGAAAGGACGCTGACCCCTCGGGTTGGGGGAGGGGGGGTGTGTGAAGAAAAATCTGCTGGAGGAGGTGATTCCTGAACTCCATCTTAAAGCACAAGTAGGAGTAAGAGTTAGGGGAGGGTGCCCAGGTAGAGAGCAGCATAGGGGAAGATATGTGGTTGCAGAAAAGGCTGGGGGCAGAGGGAAAGCACACATCCTCGGGGGTCCAGGAGGCAGGGGAGCAGGGGACAAAGTCCGGGCTGTGTCTTCCAAGAACTTCTTTATACGGCATGTTATGGACATTGGAGTTCTCTCCCCAAAGTCTTTAAGGCATGTAGAAAAGGAGGTGATATACATCTTAAATTGTGAAATGTTGAATTAAGGGAGACCAGGGAGATGACTGTTATAGGCCAATTGGGAGATGCCAGTGACCTGAGCTAGGACAGTGGCCAGAGGATGGAGAGGCCTGTTTGAGAATTACAGTAGCAAAAATTTTTAAAAAATCATGGAAGTGTTAGAAAGGAATGTTCAGAAACTGTCCTATAAAAGGTAGAATAAAACTCACAGCTGTGAAAGATAGAGAAAAATTTGCTTTGATTTTGATTGTGTTTTTTTAAGTTAAAGGATTAGTCCAGTGGGTCCAACATTAAATAATAGAAGTTCAGGGGGCTGGCCCAGTGGTATAGTGGTTAAGTTCGCGTGCTCCGCTTCCACAGCCCGGGGTTTGCGGGTTCGAATCCCAGGCGTAGACCTATGCACCACTCATCAAGCCATGCTGTGGCAGTGTCCCATATACAGAATAGAAGAAGATTGGCACAGATGTTAGCTCAAGGCCAATCTCCCTCACCAAAAAAATAGTAATAATAATAGAAGTTTAGGACCAAAGGAAATGAAGGCAAGAAAATTATTAAAGAAAATAGCTTACAGCTGAAGCACATGTGTCCCTGGATGGAAAGGAATGATGAGCACTGTTAAGGCAGTCATGAAAGTTCAGGACGTGTGGGAGAGAGAGCTGGTTAAAGCTGGGTAACGAGGAAAAGGTTAAAAGGTCAAGAATGGGGAGAGTGTGGCTTCTCAAACATAGCATGTGGAGCTAGAAGAGAATCAAGCAATGTCTTCAAAATTCTGAGGGAAAATAATTTCCAACCTGGAGTAACATATCTTAGTCTGTCAATCAAATGGGACTGTGGAATAAAGATATTTTCAGAGTTCCACAGTCAAAAAATGTACCTCCCACATGCTCGTTCTTAGGAAGCCACCAGACCAGCAAAGAGGAAGACATGGGAGCCAAGAATGGGGACTCTGACACAGAGATGGAAAGGAAATTCCTAGGGTGACAGCAAAGAGAAATCCCAGATACATGTGAGAATAGGACTAGAGATAACCAGCCAAAGTTAGGACAGGAAGACAGAGTTCCAGGAGGTACAGCACAAGTTAAAAGTGGTAGTCATTGATTACTGGATGTGCTTTAACATATTAAGAAGAGATATACTAGATTCGTTTTCTATTGCTGTATAACAGATTCCCCCAAAATTTAGTGACGTCAAACAACAAACGTTTTCTCACAGTTTCTTCATGGGTTGGAAATCCTGAAGTGGCTTAGCAGGGTGGCTGTGGCGGCTTAGCAGGGTGGCTGTGGCTCAGGCTCTCTCCTGAGGTTGCAGTCAGGACGGCAGCTGGGGCTGCCTTGTCTGAAGGCTTGACTGGGCTGCAAGAGCCACTTCCAAGATGGCGCCCCCTGTGGCTGTTGGCAGGAGGCCTCAGCTCCCCCCACAGGGCCTCTCCATAGGGCTGGGGTTTTTTTAATTTTCTTGTCTTTTTTTTTTTTTTTTTTTTTTTTGGTGAGGAAGACTAGCCCTGGGCTAACATCTCTGCCCATCCTCCTCTACTTTATATGGGACCCCGCCACAGCATGGCTTGATAAGTGGTGCATAGGTCTGCGCCCTGGATTGGAACCTGTGAACCCCAGGCCGCCGAAGCGCAGTGTGCGAACTTAACCACTAGGCCACCGGGCTGGCCCCTCATTTTCTTGTCTTTTATTTTATTTATTTATTTTTCAATTTATTTTTTTTGTTGTGGAAACATGGGTTTATAACTTTATATAAACTTCGGGTGTATGTCGTTATATTTCAGTTTCTGTGTAGATTACATCATGGTCCCCACCCAAAGACCATCTGTCCCCACACACATGTGTGAATCACCCCTTCCATCCATAGGGCTGCTTGAGCGCCCTCACAGCATGTTGCTGGCTTCCCCCGGCTGTGAGACCTGAGACAGCAGGGAGGAAGCCACCATGTCTTTCATGACTTAGTCTTGGAAGCCACACGCTGTCAGTTCCACCATATTCTGTGAGTGTAGTCCGTACTCAAGGCGAGGGAACTGAAGCTCCAACTCGTGGAGGAGTGTCAGAATTTGTGGACATGTTTTTAAACCATCACATTACATTTCTTTGAAGAGTTTGGGAATGAAATAGCAAAAGATACGTAGAACACTAAGAAAAAGACAGGTGAGAGGGAGGGAAATAAGGCGGTTGTTAACACCAGGGAAAGCAAAGTTTGTACAAGAAAGGAACTTTAGTCCTAGTGTGCCATATAAAACTAGGTGGCTCAGCTACACTGCATTAAACCCCAGAGACTGATTTAAACAAGAATTGTGATATAATCAAATTAGGAGCACTCGGAGTGTGAGTCTGTATGTGTGTCAGTCCTCCATAGTAGGAGATCAGTAGATAACATCTAAAACTGGAAAACAAACAAATAGCACAAAATGTATTAGAAATGTGTTAGTGATTATCGGAGTACACAGTTAAAGACTGAATGTGGTTGCTTCAGGGGGATGGAAAACTGCTGTTTTTGTCATATGCCTTAGTAAACTGTGTTTGTGAATCTCTATGATAAACATAAAAATTAAATTAAATTGGCAAATGAAGCAGAATCATTTTGTGGGGCGTCTTTTTTGACATATAGCAGAATTCTCCCTTTTTTGGGATATGTTTTTTTTTGAATTTTGACAAATGCCACTAGTGCCATGTGACCACCACAATCAGGACAGAGATTGGTTCCCTCAGCCCAAAAAACTGAATCCATTTTTAAAAATTAAGTTTTTGGTATACGCTAACTTCATTCTGATACGCTTTTTTTTTTCCTTTTAGAATAATGATTCTTAACAGTGGCGATCTTGCCCTCCAGGGGACATTTGGCAGCGTCTAAAGACATTTTTAGTTGTCACAGCTGGGGAGGATGCTGTTGGCATCTCGTGGGCAGAGGTCAGGGATACCGCTGGCGTCCTCCTGTGCGTAGGGCAGCTCTCCACCACCCACAATTAGCTGGTCTGAAAGTGTCAACAGTGCCTGGATGAGAAATGCTGTTTTGGAAAGAGAACGTTCCATTTTTCTTCTCTTTCTTGCTGGAAATTCAGGTTAAATGAGTGTTGGAGTTCATTTTTATTTTATGGTGCTGGGTGGAAAAGTCCATAAATATTACTGACACATATCTTTTATACTTTGGGGAAATATACTGTATAAATATGTGATGGATTATTTTAATAGCTGTCTTATTTGAAATTATAATTCTGCTCTGTTCTCCTGAGTACTCAGAGTTGATTACGACTTTGGTCTTGTGATGTCTAGATAATCCAGGCGCACGGCGGTGCCGTGGACCCTACGTTCTCCAGTCGATGCACACACCTTCTCTGTGAGAGCCAAGTCAGTGGTATGTATGCACAGGTGAGTCAAGTAGCCTCGGCTGTGACTAGAACCAAGCCTGCCCCTTTTAGGGACCATTTTAGGATTCTAGTGATTATTGTGTTTGGAAAGGACTTTTTACTACTTCTGAAAATAGGAAAGTTGCTTTTTACTAATTTTCATCGATCTTCGGTGGGATAGATACCTTTGTGGACACTAGGCTTTTATGTCTTTGAGCAGTGGAGAAAGAAAGAGAAATTCCCGGGTAGCGTTGAGGAAAGAGTAGACACTCCTTCCACTCAAATTCAAAGCAGCAATGAATAAATGGTGAGTGGAACCAGGATTTCCTACGATTGTAGGACTTTGTAGCAAGGGCCTGACGGGGTAAGTGCCTCACAGAGCTCCTGTGAGACTCTGCAGGGCGTGAGCTTTCTCCTCATGTTATCCCCTGAAGTTTCGTTGCTTCTGTTTTCTTAAAAATGTTCTTATTTGTAGACAGACCGATGTTAATGTGTGTGTGCTAGATGACCTCCAAGAAACTCCTTTTAAAGAGTACAGCCATTTATACTGAATCCACTTTTCAACTAAAAATGTAGAAATACCAGTGAGGTGACACTGTGGTTGATTTTAGGTGGCCACTTATATTTTTTCATAACTTGTATGTGGGACCCTCTGTGTTCTTATGGGAGAATTTTAATTTTGATGATCATAAATGTTATCTCATTTTATGATTAAAGTTACTTTTAAGGTTATTTGAAAATTTGTTGCTTTTATCCCCCATTGCAGGCTCTTGTTCTTGTGTAGATAGTAACACTTTCAGGTTGTGTTAAAATTAACTTGCTACATACACTTTGTAGTTTGTTACTTTAGTAAACTGTGTGCTAAACGTCAGGAAATTCTTTTTTGTAGGTCTTCCAATAAAGGTAGCATTATATTTATACAACTTAAAATTTTGTATTTAATCCTGCAGTTAAAAAACAAAAACAACAAATCCATAATTTATGTTTGGCAGGCGATAAGAGAAAGGAAGAGGTGTGTCACCGCACACTGGTTAAACACGGTCTTGAAGAAGAAGAAGATGGTGCCCCCTCATCGAGCCCTTCATTTCCCAGTGGCATTCCCCCCAGGAGGAAAGCCGTGTTCCCAGCACGTGAGGCAAATCGTCTGTCTGCTGTGTGACCATTCTCCTTCTCTGGCAGATAACCACACGCTGACTTCCCTCCTTCCCTGGCTTCTGAGTCAGTGTCTTCTGTGTGCTTCGTCTGGCCCAGCTCATAAGTGCCCGAGCAGAATAAATATCTTATTTCCTTTTATGCCCCTATAACAATCACACTTTCCTGCACATAGTAGATATTTAATTGACTCACCAAAGTGTTTGACACTATGTAAAACCCTAAAATAAATTGGGTGTCTCTCATCAGAAGTGGCCACAGTTGGGCAGAACTTTATCAGTAGCTCTCAAATGATCTCAAAGTTGCGATCAGTAAGGAGAAGGAAGAACTGACTAATATTTATGTGCTTCATAAAATAACCTTGTTAAAATTATCTGAACGATATCACATTAACGCAAAGGTTTTCACTTATTTGGTATCTCATGTTCATTTTTCTCCCGTGATGACCATGTAACATTTTTACCATTAACAAAATTCTCATCTTAACATTCTGAGAAATGATATTGCTAAATATCTCCCCTAATGCCAAAGAAGGGATGAAAATATATATGTCTACACTAAACAACTAAAGTGTAGAAGAAAGAGTTGTATTAACTGGGTTAAATTGTGGTTGTATTTTGACCTTATTTGCTCTTTTTTCCCTTAGATTATTTCTGTGACTGGATTTGTTGACAGTGACAGAGATGACCTCAAGTTAATGGCTTACCTGGCAGGTGCCAAGTACACCGGCTACCTGTGCCGCAGCAACACCGTCCTCATCTGTAAAGAGTAAGCCATATTTAATCTTAAATTTACACACAATATAATGGCTGTTTCAACAATTCTCTATTTCTTACTGTGTCATAGTTTTGTGGTGGGAGTTTGAATATGAAAATCAAAATCTGTTAAAAGAGTGGCAGTGGTACTCGTGATAATGCTAGCAGAAATATCTACAAAACATTTGAATGAAATTAGATGAATTGATGAAGTTTGAATTAATTAAGTTTGGTAAGAGGAATAAGGTACAAGTGGACTAGTAGACTGTCTCATAACCCAGGAGGAGCCTTGAAGAATACTTTAGTTACCAGCCTGGGATTGCTGTCAGCTTTGCTAAGATGGCTCTGCCATTCCCAGTGTGAGAAAATGTTCTTCATGGGCGTCTGTTGAAAAGACATATAAATTTGGACAGTAGACAACTCTGACTGTGTTTAATAAATGTGTTTTCTTCTCAAAAAAAAAAAAAAGACCAACTGGCTTAAAGTATGAAAAAGCCAAAGAGTGGAGGATTCCCTGCGTGAACGCCCAGTGGCTGGGCGACATCCTTCTTGGGAACTTCGAGGCGCTGAGGCAGATCCAGTACAGTCGCTACACGGTGTTCAACTTGCCCGACCCATTTGCCCCCACTCAGCAGTTGGTTTTAAATCTTCTGGGTAAGTGGCTCCACATGCTGTGCGTTTGACTTCAGTAAAATGGTCAGACGTGCTCCCCTGCCCTTTTCTTTGCCCTGATCACCAGCCCTGGCTTTAGCTCTCTCGTCGGTTTTTAATGCATTTCCTGTATCCTCTCCTCCCTTCTCCCTTCCCCCTACTCTGCCCAGGCTTTTTGTTGGTTTGATATTTTTGTTTCTTTTTGTTTTAATGGACTTTTAGAGATGGAAGGAACTCTAAGAAACCTTCTCAGTCTTGTCTTTCAAGCCACTTATTTATCTAAAATGCCACCCACCCAATGAAGCATTCCCTGCTTTCCTTCTGTTTTAAGTCAGAGTCAGTGTCTTTTCTTCTTTGTCATTGTCTTTGACTGACTTGCTGTGATGAGAGGTAGGAGTGTGCATGCCTGCTACGGCTCCTTTCAGCCACACGAAACTCCTGGGAGGGTCACTGTCCCCACTGTGTATATTACACACTTAATGGTCCTACATTTGCTGATTTGAACATTACTCAAAAAAATGTCCTCTCTGCTTTAATATGTTCTCTTTTAAAGAAGCCCATTAGGTTCTGTTTTTGGATGGCTTTAATCATGAGAAAGTTCTTCATTTTGAGCTATATCTGCTTCCCTGTGACATATCTGTGGGTCTGACTTCGACTCTGAAACCATTTCGTCTTTAAGTATTTAAGCCTGGTCACCACGTGAGGAAACGTGCCTGTCCCTTCAGCCATCCTCGATATGGTGTGGTCCTTCGTGTCCGCCACCTCTCGTCATAATTGGTTTGTTAGAGGCCAGACTCTGGTTCCCAGAACTAGCTAACAGGACAGTGCAAACTGGGACAGTGAATACCTTTGCTTTAGACACAGTGTTCTGTGTTGTGTGCTGCTGGCTTTCTTAGTGTTACTTGTGTAGAAAGTGTGCAGTAAACTAAACTGCTGAGCACTTTCCCAGCAGCTGCCTGCGACTCCTCCCTCACCTGGTGCTGGGAGGCTTTTCTTTAAACTTAAGGTATAGTCCTTACATTTATCCTTATTATGTTGTCAGCTACCCACCTATGTGTCTAGGATTACCAGCCCCAAAAGAGGCTTTTCTATTTAAACAATGTATCTTTGTACAAATAATGTATTTCTCTCTTTAGATGCTTGGAGAGTTCCGTTAAAAGTGTCAGCAGAGGTGTTGATGGTATGTCAAGTTAATAACCTTACTTTGGCTATTACTATATTATAAAAATGCAGTAGGTATATTTGTATTTGTAAATTAAAATTCTTTTAGCAATTTGTCAACATAACACCAGATGAAGGCTGTATCCTCCCACCTGTCATGAAATGTGTGGTATGCCTTGTGTCTGTTTTTTCTCTTGATTGGTGATATTGTCTGTCATTCATCTTTATACACATGAGGAGCATTATTTGCCTCGAAGAGCTGTGTGATTGCTTAAGGAATTGGAGAAGAGAATACAGTAAGACTTCCTCTTGTTTTCATAGGGATAGAGAGGTGAGGACTGTGAACAGGCACTCGAGATCAGAGCCCTCGACCTATACTTGCTCCAGGCTCAGATGAGAAGTGAAGGAGGCCTGACCTCCTGTGACGGGGACACCGTGTCCTCAGCTCCCAGCAGGGTCCTGTCACTCTGGTTGAGGTCGCTGATGGGATGCTTTCAGGAGGGACTGTTGTGGAACTGTGAATGCCAGTGGTTGTTGGTTAGGAGACAGGTTTGGGCTGCCTTCTAAGTGAGGGGCCGTCTGCATTCTCCTCTGTCAGCACACTGGGTAGAGCATGAATTGTTTTCCTACATTACCATTTCAGTCATTTTTCACCATAGAATTTCTCTACTGTTAATTGTCTCTGTTTGCTTGTCACTGTGAGAATAGCGGTCTTTCTGTTGTTTGCTAGTGTGATTTAAAGGTTTAGGTTGATGTCCATGTCACGTGCCCCTGGGTTTTCACCACGTCCCTGTCAGCTACAGAGGTCCTTTAGGGTTTGTGCTCCTGTAAACAGCTGGCTGAGGAGAGCGTTCTTGTCAGGATAACCAAGTAACACCCTAAGTCTGTGTTCTGATTATTGATGATCTGACTTTCTCATTTTCCAAATCTAATCCGGAAGCCTCTGGTAATCATCCGGAGTCTTTTGGGAAGCCTCTAGGCTGCTGTCTGTTTTCTTCACGCTAATGATAATATGGTCATATATGCATTTTTTCTTTGCTTAAACTAGTAATTATGATTTTAATAAAACATGACCAGCTCTGACACATCAGCACAAGCAAATAGTCTCCTAATTCATTTGCATGAAAGAAATTTTATGGTAGCTTTTAAGATCAAGCTGGGAAAGTGATCGTCAGAGTTTCCCCTCCTGAACCACGTGGCTTAGATTCTGAAATTGTGTCAGGGGTTCCAGGTGTCAATTCCTCTTGTGTCTTTGTATCCGTAACTAAAAGCTGAAAGTCTTAATGACCGGGAGGCCAGTTTGCCCTTTTTTTAATCCCACCGTTTGTTTCTGTGGTTGCTACCAATGAGTGGTAGCTTGGAGAAGTAAACGTAATCGTTGGAAATGGAGAGTTGAAGGGTTGTTTTCTTGTAAAGGTGGTAGTTAGAAAAAGTCTAAACCTTCCTGCACATTGTTGTAAAGCTTGAGTTTCCATGTCTGAAAGGGCTAATGGGTTTCAAGTGTTTTCTGTGGATACGCTTTTATGTATTTTGGTAGTCTATGTACAGCAGCAATACTCAGAAAATATTAGTTGTAGTTAATGTAAATTAATAAGATCGAGAGGTAGTTGCCTCATATAGTTAACATAAACAAAATTTCTTTGGAAGAAGCTCTGTGTTCAAGATGTGAAGAGGAGGAGATGGGGAGCAGCAGCCGTGTTGGGAGTGGCCGTGGGGACACCCCACGGGGAGAGGTGCCTTCTTCTCTCCTCCCCACGGGGCTTGGCGTCTGCCCCAGGTCAGGCGCTCGAGCTGGTTCCAGCGACATGGCTGTCGGGCTGGGAAGCTGTGGCCTTCAGCACCTTGTTTTGCTCTTAACACACTGTGATCTGATTGTCATGTTATATCTTTTGTGAACCCTCATAGGTGAAATTTGTTTCAGGAATAGTCTTTTTTTATGGGATTCAATTGCATTGAGTATGTTTTCCAAATTCCAAATTGGGATGCAAGGCAAAATATTTGAAATGAGAACTATTTTGAAAATTTCAAGGATGACATCTGTAACATAAGGTGAGGAGAGAAAGGGATGAAGACATTTTAAAGAAGTGATAGGATTTGGTAACTAAAGAAGGAAGGCGGAAAAATGACAGAGGCTCCCTGGAAAGTCACCTCTGCTCCTGGCTTGTGTCATGCTGTCTTTCTAGGCAGATGCAAATTTGGATGTGGCGGAGAGCATGGTTCTAGTATATGATGAGATAGTTTGGTTACTGGACACATAAGTCTCTTGGAAGCTACTGTATTACTTGGGAGTTTGATTAAAGTAAATAATATTTTAATTACAGGGTGTGAGACTACCTCCTAAAATGAAACAGAATGAAGTAACTAATATCCAGCCTTCTTCCAAAAGAGCCAGGTATGAATAATCACCTTCCTTTTTTATGGTGGGTTATCTTTTACAATCTGTTTTAGGAAATGCTGGCAATTGAGAAAGTTTCTAAGAATTGTCACAGTAAATAGGATTTGAAAGGATTTGCTTCACAGCTTTGTTGTGCTATGTCTCATTTTATTGCTGGAGATAAATGGTGACTAGGCCAGTACTTTTTTCTTTGTCTTTTGTTACAAAAGCAGTGGAGTCTTTTTGTTGAAGCCAAACCTTAGCAGAACTCCAGTGTGTAAAACACAGGCTGCTGTGGTGGAGTGGGGGGAGACTAGAATCCATCTCAGGTGTGCTGGATGAGCATCCTTGGCGTCGAGTCCGTGCTCCTGGAGTCTGCCTGAGGAGCAGAGGAGGGTAACACAGCATGGACCAGGTGGGAAGGGACCAGCCCCCTTCGGAAGGGCGTGTGTACCACACGCTGCACGTCGGGTTTGGCTTGGGGCGTGCGGACTTATACTAGTCTCATCTGGTAAAGACATGGTTGGCCAGTACTAGTCAGTGATTAGGTCCTGCTAGTCATTTAGTTAGTAAGGCACAGCAAATGCAGGAGTAAACCAAGGGAGCTTTGTTCTCTCTGCGTGATTCTAGAAAACTCTGCAGGTTAACTGCTCGCATTGTCTTTTGCAGTTACCAGTTTCTTCATCTTCTCTCTTCCCTGCTCCTCATGTTTTCCTCCTTCCATTCCCCACAGCCACACAATCTGGGAATTATCGAATTTTTTAGTAAAATCCTAAGTATGTGATTATGTCTTTTTAAGACTGTCATCAAAATGGCATAAATAAACTTTAAAAAAATTTTTACCTGGACTGTCTCAATTAAATATAAGCTAAAATAGGATTTGAAAAAATGTAAGGAAATGTAAAAGACTGATTATTAAGAAGTGTGCTTAGGTCAGGCAGCTCATTTGTTCCTTCTGGGGTGAAGTGGGCAGGAGAAGGCAGGGCTGGGGCTGAGGAGAACTGCGGGCCGGGGGGCTCCCTCTCGCTGACGCGAGGATGCCCACGTGAGGACAGGTGCCTTAGGAAGGGCTGTGAAACTAGCAGATCAGTGAGATGGGAAAGACCAGCTTCACTGTTTGCCTTTTTTTTTAAAGCTTTTTTTAAAAAAAAGTTAATTGGCAGGGGGCATTGATGAGGAAGAGAACAGTGTTCATCTGGACTGTAAGTTAACTGACTACTTCCCTTAAAGGTGCCAGATGGTCTTCTTGGGGGTGACTTTGTGTAAAAGGAGGGAAAGGAAGGACAGGTAACTCATCGCATTTTTCCTTTAAGAAAAAAAATCCTGCACACTTAAAGCTGTCATTGAAGTTTGTTGGGGCTGGCCCGGTGGCGTAGCGGTTAAGTTCGCACATTCTGCTTCAGTGGTTTGGATCCTGGGCACAGACCTGCTCAGCCGCTCATCAAGCCATGCTGAGGCAGCGTCCCACATAGAGCGACTAGAAGGATGTACAGCCATGACATACAACTATCTTCTGGGGCTTTGGGGAGGAAAAAGGAAAAAAGGAGGAAGATTGGCAACAGATGTTAGCTCAGGGCTAATCGTCCTTAAAAAAAAAAAAAAGTTTATTAAAACTATTAAAATCCCTTGTTTTCTAAAGAACATTTTTAAGTCAATAATAAAATCATCATTCTGTTTTGTATTTATTTTATAGAATTGAAGATATACCACCTCCCACTAAAAAGTTAACACCAGAATTGACCCCTTTTGTGCTTTTCACTGGATTTGAGCCTGTCCAAGTTCAACAGTATATTAAGGTGAAATTTTATTCTTTTTTGTGTAAGGATTTTTGGCAGTGTTCCTTTCTGTGTATATCTGCTTTGGGCTAGCAGTTTACTAAACTAATATTTAATCAGGAATATCTTATAACAGTCTTTATAGTACGTATGTATAAACTATTTGTCATAGTATTTATAGTAATAAATAGTCATTAAATTGTTAATGACTTCTCGCCTTGTTCTGTGCTATTATTTCATACTTAGATACTTGCTTTCGTATTAAGTAGAAAAATATGATTGAGGTGAGTAGACCAAGAACCGTTTTTATAATCTTGCAAAGGTTTGCAAGGCAGCTCGAATGTCATTTTCATAAACACATCTAGCTTGAAAGAGTGAAGTGCCTCTTCAAGTTCTCTGATCGAAACCACGATCTACTCAAGATTAGTTTTCTTGGGTAGGGTAGACCAAAGAGGGAGTTGTGTATTTGTACATTTAGTTGATAAATGGGAACAGAATTTTAAATGTACTTTTGGAAACAGCACAAAGGATTATGGGATTTTGTTTTGTTACTGTTTTTTGGGGGGATGGTTAAGACTATAAGTTGACTTATATCATGTTGGATTCATACTTTTTACTTCTAATTTTTTTTGAAGGAAAAGAAACAGTTGTAAGTGCTAGTATTATAAATTTAGTACCATTTAATTTTTTTACCTTTAAAGTTGATTATACTTATTGAGATTATTTTTTTATATGTTTATGTCTCCTGGTCAATTTTTATGGCATCATTTTTCAGAATAGAGACAGTATGTTAATGTGCCTCATTAACACTCATTTCAGCTTAGAAAGTCTGGGCATCTTCACTTCTTAACCATGACACAAGCTGCAGTGTTCTCAGGGCACTTTAGTTATTCATAGGGATGTGTTATTGGTGTCTGATCGAGAATTCACGTTGTAATCTTGATGAGTGTGGAAATGATGACAGACAGGAATATCGTCAATTCTGTTTTTTACTTTTCTCCTACAGTGTTGTAGGCTTGATTTTGTTGTTTTACGAGTTGTACTGTTTCCATGGCTGAGAATTCTGTTCATAAATATTAGACAAGTATTCTCTGTACCACGCTGTGGTGTGGCGGCTCTGTAGACTTAGCTCTCCTCTCTGACCTCTGCTTGTGACCCCCAGAAGCTCTACATCCTTGGTGGCGAGGTCGCTGAGTCTGCGCAGAAATGCACACACCTCATCGCCAGCAAAGTGACACGCACGGTGAAGTTCCTGACAGCCATCTCTGTGGTGAAGCACATAGTGACTCCAGAGTGGCTGGAAGAGTGTTTCAAATGCCAGAAATTTATTGGTAAGTAGCAGCGTCAGTACCTTCGTTTTTAATACCAAATAAATGTTAAAATTTTTTCTTGAATTTTCTCCATTTTCACCCAACAGACATCTAGTTTATTTTTTAACTCTTTGGTAATTATCCATTTAAATTTATAAATTTATTCCATGTCCCAGTGAGTCAGTTGATTGATATCTTTGCATTTTACCATGAAGTCTAAAGGGTTTAGTAATTTGGATAATATTAGGGGTAAAATAAGCTCTGTATCCCTGCTTTGTTGTTTCCATATTTTGTTTGGAAATCTGGCTGTAGAATGAGGTTCCCACATGCAGTAAAGTGTGAAGAGGAGAGAGAACAGGTCCGTGAATGTCCTGGATACCAGGCTACATAGGAGGGACGGGTGTCTGCCCCCCGTGCCTGTCTCCCATTGCTCAGAGCTTGCACCAGCACTCACACTTGGAGATGCTATAGAAAGGATAGGTTTCTTCTTAGGTTAATCAAAGTTCCTAAGTGTTTTTAGAACCTTGCCAAGTAGAGAATGAATATAAGTTACAGATGATTTTTTTCCTCCATAGAAGCTGTTATAGCCACGTAGATTTGCACCTTTGTTAGCATAAGCAGCAGCCATGTTAGCCTTGCTGTGCAGACGTTCCCAGTCTGTCATCCTGTCTCCCACATGGGACAGGAACCCAGAATCCCTACAAGCACATCCTCAGTCCTCATCTGGCCACTTGTCTGGGTGGAGCAGTGGAAGAGGCACTTGTCCTGGTCATGAGCTTCACCCCAGTCTCAGTTTTGTTTCTCATCTTTGGTCTTTATACCTGAACTGCAGTGGCACTGAAACCTGACTGGCTTGCTCTCCCTTCACATAGCAGTAATATTGATCACCAGCCTGGCATACACACTCATAGGTTTTTCTGCCACTAGTTTGCCCTGTATTTCTCCATACTTGCTCTATTGTGTCCCCTTCGCCCCCACCCCTTAAGCAGTGGAATGATACAGCTACAAAAGGATAAGAGCAGGATGCGTGGTTGTGGGACCCGCAAGGCCAGCAGGGGCACTCCTGGTGCCCACTGGCATCGTGCTCTTCTGACCCCCTAAACTAACCTTATGTATTACTTACGGGGACAGGTCATTGTTAAGTCAGTGTTGTTAAGCTAAAATATTTCAGATCCATGTCATTCTCTTGGCCGCTGGTGTTTAAACATAATTCAGTCTTTAGTGTAAATAAATAAATAAAAAGTATATATATTTTAAAGTTCACGTAGTCTTAATTTTACAGATGAGAAATTAACATCCAGAAAAGTAAACATACTTAAGTTTGCTACTTATAGCAAAGCTAGAACCAAACTTACAATTCCATGATTCTATATCTAAGTCAATAAAACATAGGAAAGAATAAATCATTAATGTGAAAATCAATGAATTGAAAAAAAACTTAAGTCCTCAACTACAATAAAACATTGTTCTCATTGTTCGTGGTAGCTGTGTTCTATAACAGATGCTGAATTAGTGGGTGCTGGACCACTGCTCCTAGTGGAAATACAGGGCTTGGTTCGTGCGAGCCTCTGGTCACATCATTTTCATGAGCCAATCAATACGTAACATTGTATGTATCAATAAAACCATGTTTCTGTTTGGCACCTCATTGAATATATATTCTTGATTCATTAACACTGAAGTCATGGCCAGCAGCGCTGGGACTCATCTGGGATGAAGCCCATAGGGCACGTCACAGCTCCTGTGCTCCAGAACACCAGACCGCACTTCAGCACTATACTTGGGGGCCATTTTAAACAGCAAAATCACCAACAGAAAGCACAAAAATGTGAGAAAACTTAGCACTAAATGGACCACAGAAAGGGCCCTCATTTATAGTGCGAGAGCTGAAGCGAGAGGGCAGAGGTCACGTTGTTCCGCCCCAGCTGGGAACATGCACATCAGGCAACTCAAAATGTTTACCACTCTGCATGTCCACAGATGACTTGAAAGCACCACAGATAATGATTTTGGGGTTGCAAATAATTGTAGCAAGTAGGCAGATTCACAAATAGAAAATCCACAAATAGTGAGCAACTGTGTTAAGTTGTTAGTTGTATTTAGAAATTTTCTTTGGAATTGGAATTTTTTTGTTCTTGAAAGATACTGGTGAAGTATAAAACGTAACAATGCAAGCAGAAGAAAAAACTTGTAGAAACATTACTATAAACGTAAATATTAGCTCCCAATTTTGTATAGAAAGTGATAAAGTTTAGAATGAGATGGTCTGTTCTTTTATTGAAATTTGAGTTGCTTAATTTATCAAGCTTACCAGTTTGTGAAAATGATTCTTTTATCTGTTTATAAAGTTTACAACAATTCATATTTGATGGGAAGTTTTAGTTGACTGACTTTCATTTCTTTATGACGTTATTAGTGATTGCTATGTTGATCTCTTAGGGTAATAAAGGGGTTTAGTGATATTATAAACATTTAATGTTCAATAGGAAATATTCAAACATATTTCGTATTTGATCCCTCAAATTCCAAGATTTCTTAAGAGAATTTTTTCAGTTTATAATAATTGCCTTTCCCAGAATATCATGTAGTTGAAATCATGCAGGATGTAGCCTTTTCAGATTGGCTTCTTTCACTTAGTAATAGCATTTAAGTTTCTTCCATGTCTTTTCACAGCTTGATAGCTCATTTCTTTTTAGCACTGAATAATACTCCACTGTCTAGATGGACCACAGTTTGTTTATCCATTCACCTACTGAAGGACATTTCGTTTCTTCCAAGTTTGGCAGTTATGAGTAGAGCTGCTGTAACCACCTGTGTGCAGCTTTTGTGTGGATGTGAGTTTTCAGTTCCTTTGGGTAAATACCGAGGACTGTGATTGCTGGATCTTATGGTGAGAGAATGTTTAGTTTTGTAGGAAACCATCACACTTTCTTCCCAGTGGGCTGTACTATTTTGCATTCTCACTGTCAATGAAGGAGAGTTGCTGTTGCTCCACATCCTTGGCAGCATTTGGTGTTGTGAGTTTTTGACCATTTTAATAGTTGTGTAGTGGTATCTTATTTTTGTTTTAGTTTTGCATTTCCCTGATGACTTATGATGTTAAGCATCTTTTCATATGCTTATTTGCCATGTATCTGTCATCTTTGGTGACATGTCTGTTCAGATCTTTTGCCCATTTTTTGATTGGGTTGTTTTCTTACTGTTCAGTTTCAAGAGTTCTTTGTATATTTTGGATGACAGTCCTTTATCAGATGTGTCTTTTGCAAATATTTTCTCCCAGTCTGTGGCTTGTCTTCTCATTCTCTTGACATTGTCTTTCACAGAGCAGTTTTTAATTTTAATAAAGTCCAGCTAATGAGTTATTTCTTTCATGGATCATGCCTTTGGTGTTGTCTAAAAAGTCATCACCATATCCAAGGTGATCTAGGTTTTCCCCTGTGTTATCTTCTAGGAGTTTTATAGTTTTATGTTTTACATTTAGATCTGTGATCCGTTTTGCGTTAATTTTTATGAAGGGTGTAAGGTCTTTGTCTAGATTCATTTTTTTGCATGTGGATGTCTAATTGTTGAAAATTAGTCTTTGCCCCACTGTATTGCCTTTGCTCCTTTGTCAAAGATTGGTTGACTATATTTATGTGGATCTGTTTTTGGGCTCGCTATTCTGTTCCATTGATCTGTTTGTCTGTTCTTTCACCAATAACACATGATTTTGATTCCTAGAGCTTTATATAGGAAGTCTTGAAGTTGAGTAGCATGTATTCCAACTTTGTTCTTCTCCTTCAATATTGAATTAGCTGTTCTGGGTCTTTTACCTCTGCATATAAACTTGAGAATCGGTTTATTGATATCCACTAATGATTTATTTTTAATACATATTTAAAGACATATTGTTTTGCCGAAAGTTTACATTTTCAGATGGTTTTCGAAATTTCTCAAGAGTATTGACCTTAGGTTATTATTTGTCCAGTTAGTACCTAAAATTTTGCTTTCCAATTCGTTTCCTACTTTTATCTACGTTTTAGCATTTTATGGATTTTTTTAAACCAATTTGGCTTTTGAATTTAAAAAACAATTTTTTTTCTTTTTTTTTTGGAAACAGTCACCTACTTACCGAACAGTTAGAGATATAGTACAAATTTCTTCTTTTTCCTGAACCATTAGAGAATACGTTGCCAAAATGATGCACCATTATTCTTAAACACCTTAATGTGTGTTTCCTACAAACAACGACGTTCTCCTGGTTGGCCATAATACAACCGTCAAGCTCAGGAATTAACGTGGATCCATTGCTACTATCCCATCCCCAGACCCCACTTGCATTTGTCCTGTTGTCCCAATAATGTCCATTAAAGCACAAGGATCTAGTTCAGAATCCTGCATTGCATGTAGTCTCCTTCAGTCAGGAGTAGCTCCTCAGCCCTTCCCCGTCACTTTTGAAGATTTCAGGTTGGTTATTGTATAGACTGTTTCTCCGTCTGGGTGTGTGTGCTGTTTCCTCCTGATGGAGTCAGGCCGCATCTTTGGCAGCGCTGTCACAGTCAGTGCTCTGCCCTCTCGGTGCGTCCTGCCGGGCATTGAACAGTTTGGATTTGTCGTCTTACTGCTGGTGTTTACTGTCACCCCTTGATGAACGTGATGACTTCCAGGCTTCTCTGCTGTATGGTTATTCTTTCCTTTTGCTAATAATCAGTGGTTTATGGGGAAGTACTTTAAAACTATGCAAATATCAGCGTTCCTTATCAAAGTATTGATTTATTCATTTATTTCCTCATAGGGACCTCTTTTTAAATTTTATTCAATAGGTTACCATTACTATCATTATTGATGCTCAGATTGTCCCCAGTTTGACCAGTGAGAGCCATTCAAGCTGGCTTCTGTGTCATTTTCAACATGCCCCATCAGTTTTAAGCACTTCCTGAGCTTTTGGCACAAGAATGTTCTAGGCTTATCTTATGCTTTTTTGCGCTTGCTCTGGAATCAGCCATTTTCCCAAGGATCATATCTTTCCAGTTCTAATCGAACACCACAGGGTTCATTCTAGTTTTCTCCCTTCCTGTGTTTGTAAATCTCTTCTCCAACAGTGAGAAACCTGGCTTCCAATATCCTAAATATATTTATTCATTTGATTAGTTCCACCGTTTTTAACTGCCTCCCTTGTGCAGCACGTCCTCTCTCTGCCTGGCTCTGACTCCCCATTGAGAGGATTGCCCTCCTCACTCTGCTTGGGTTCTGACACCCTACTGTGAGCCTAATAGCTTTAGAGCTGATTTGTTGAAGAAGTGGTAGGGAATATTTTTGGAATTTTTTATTTATATTTAATTTATATAGTTTGAGACACCAGTTTTACAGATAATCACTTTCTGGAATAATCATGTCCTTTGTGCTGCTCTGAAAAGTTTAATTTTCAGGTTGACTATTTCTACAGACTCCTACCGACTTAATGTAACCCTGTGGCTCCTTTATTTATTTATTTATTCTTGCTGAGGAAGATTGGCCCTGAGCTAACATCTGTGTCAACTTTCCTCTATTTTGTATATGGGATGCTGCCACAGCGTGGCATGATGAGTGGTACATAGGTCCCCATCCAGAATACAAACTTGAGAACCCCAGGCTGCCAAAGTGGAGCACATGATTTTAACTACTATGCCACTGGGCCAGCCCCTGTGGCTCCTTTTAAAGAACCAAAATGTCAGTTTCTCATCTGTGCCAGGATTGTTTTAATTACTTTCTATTATTCTTCAGTGTCATTTTCTCTATCACAAACATTAACTACTTCTTGGTAATCCCTCACTAGTTCTTCAGAAGGCATATCAGCCTTAATTTTTGCCCTAGAAACTTAGATTTCAAATTTATCATTTCATGTGTGACAGTACTTTCTTATTCATTTTTTAATTCATCATTGTTTTATTTCTCCAATTTTTAGACATTCTTATCATCTTTCACCCAAAACAGTATAGCAGCCTTATTTATCTGCTGATTGGCTGATGGATTGATTTTGTATTTCTAGCAATGGTTAATCAGATTTCATCATTTCTTTAGTGATATGATTGCTCTTGCTCAGGGGTCAACAGACTGTGGCCCATGAGCTAAGAATGGTTTGTACATTTTCAAAGCATTGTTTTAAAAGAAGAGGAAGGAGGGTATGCAACAGAAACAATCTGTGGCCCACAAATCCTACAACACGTGTCATCTGGTTGATCCTGTTCACCAACCCTGCTGTAGACTCTTCCCTGTTTCATGTTTTTGATGAATGTTTTATCAGGTTTGCACTCTGCTGTGCTGTTTGGTTATTAGTATGAAATGAAGAAGAAATGCTTTTCTGAACATGAGACATATTCATAAGAAAATTAAAAGATTTTAAGATTTTGTGATCTTTAACTTTTGACAAATTGGGTGTTTCTTAAAATGTTACTGTGAAAACCAGTCAATTAAAAATTCTCAAAAGTCTTCAAAATTTGTTGAAACTATCCATTGTAAATTGCTATACATTTTCATATACTTAAAAGGAATGTGTTTTTGGTAAATCTATAAAATCTAACTAATTGATTATCAGCTAGTTGAGTCTAATGTCCCTCAGTTCCTTGTGGTGGTTACATATACGGGCTGGATGCGATGCTAGTTTTAAGCTTGTTGCTCTAGGACTGGAGTTCTTAACCAGGATCTGTGGGCTCAGGGAATTTGTGACGTTATGGGTGAAGGGTACGGAGGGGAGGTGCCATGATGAGAGTGGAGCCATAGCTTTCAGTACGGTTTTTTCAGCAGAGTTTATGACCGCAAAAGGTTAAGAAACACTGATCTAGGAGAAAGAATGTCTGCCTGTCTTTCTTTAGTCTGGCTGTTTTCAGGGGGAAAGTAAGTGAAATATAATAGGTGAGACTTAAGTATTCAGAGGTTTTACAGGTCAGTGTGAACCATGAATAACGCGTCCCTGGCTGACTGGGAGAGTTCTGGGGGTGGGTTGCCCTTTTCTGAGTGTATGCCATTCTCTTTTCCAGATGAGCAGAACTACCTTCTCCGGGATGCCGAGGCCGAGGTGCTTTTCTCCTTCAGTTTGGAAGAGTCCTTAAAAAGGGCACATGTTTCTCCACTCTTTAAGGTACACTTCAGAGGAAAAATCAGATAAGTCCACGTAGACATTATAGATCGTTCAGTTGAAGGTGACAGTGACTTAGGGGGAAGCACACATCCAGAGGAGCCGGGCTCACCCTGGCTTCCCGTTTCTTCTTGGATGTGTTACTGGAGGTCTTCCGTCAGGGAAATCCAGGTGTACCTCCAAAATACTCTTCTTTACTATAATTTAAAACAATGGATCCAAAGTTAAATCATAGATCTATTGGAGATATGCATTATAAAATACTTGGGTGTTCAAAGAGTATGTTTATGACTATCTAAATTGGTAAGAGACATTTAAGTTGATTTTTCTGCTTTTAACAAATTTTACTTTACTTAATACTATTCTCATTAAATGTGTATTCAGCTGGAGAATAGAGAATATTCTTGAAAAATATTAATTGAATGTGTGCCTAAATAATACAGGACTAAAGTATTTAAATATTTGTTAGACAAGATACTTAGAACAGTTTGGAATTTTTTTTTTTGTATCAAAGAATGGCTAAGTAAATTAATAATCTGTTTTTTACACTTCTTAAGGAGCCACCTTAGGAATCAAATCATTTGTAATACTGAGTTAAGATTTATTTTACCTAAAATAGTCTGATTTTTCTGAATGTTTGATTTTTTTTTTCTCTGAGCAGTTTAAAACAAAATAGTATTTTGTAGTACACTTAGGAGCAAAGGTGTTAGAAAATTAAATCTTAACCATCAAAATCATTTCCTACTCTATTGAGTACAAATAATACAGATTACGAAGAAAAGGAATACAGGCGTTCTGCCAGTCTGTTAGTTAACAAATAAACGTGGATAATATAATGCTAATTTTAGAATTTTATAGAAATTGTGAAAACTTTTATATTATTCTTGCTTATATCACAAAGTCCTTCATGTCTTTGAGGAACGTGAGTTCTAATTACTTGTACTAATCATAGATCAGACCTAACATGGGAAAGTGCTTAGATTATTTCCAAATTTACATCCTGGATTCCTCCAGGCACACTTCACGTGGAGACTAGCGGGGGCTAGTACCTTTGTAACTTCATGAAATTAGACATTTTGTCAAAAATCGCAAGATAGAATTTATGAAAAATTATGTACTCTAAAAATTAAAAGCAATTTTAAAACATAGTACACACATTTTCATTTTATTTTTAGGCAAAATATTTTTACATCACACCTGGAATCTGCCCGAGTCTTTCAACTATGAAAGCGATTGTGGAATGTGCAGGAGGAAAAGTATTATCCAAACAGCCGTCTTTCCGGAAACTTATGGAGCATAAGCAAAATAAGGTGGATGGGAGTAAAACAAGCTGTTGAGTCCCTCATGCTCACAGAGAAGATTCGCTGTTCAGTAACCGATACACTCGTTTTCTCTTCCTCAGAGTTTGTCAGAAATCATTTTAATATCCTGTGAAAATGACCTTCACTTATGTCGAGAATATTTCGCCAGAGGCATAGGTACGGTTTACTGCTCTTGCAGTATGTTGAGTGTGTGCGTGCACACACAGCAGTGCGTGTTACCTGAACAGTTTTTGTTTTCATTCCTTTCAGATGTTCATAATGCAGAGTTTGTTCTAACTGGAGTGCTTACACAAACACTGGACTATGAATCATATCCTTTTTGAAAGATGCTTAGTGCAGAAACCTTCTCATCATTAACATCAGAACTGTGTGTATTCCATATCACCATATATTAGGAAATTATTGCCAGAGCTAGTGATGCAGATGCTAAGGACCCATTCGATTTGGCAGATATGCCGTGAGCATTCTGTTTTTATGCAATGTGTACTGTGTCTATCCAGGTTTTTTCTACCATTTATTTTTATGGTTGTGAAGGCTTTTTGTGTACTACCTTTACTTTCAGAAGGAACAGTTCCTTTAAAAGTTACTTGGGTGATTTGTGGGTGTCCTCTCAGGGGCCTTTCTTCATATCAATAGCGTGAAAGTGGCCTCATCCATTTTGCCCAGGTGAGTGGTTTAGAGTTGCAGGAGTTGTCAGGTGCTCTTGAAGATACAGGGATGGGTCAGTTTCCGATGGGGGAGCTCTGGGGATGTCTGCCTGTCGGGTGGAGCATGGTCATGGTAGTTGAAAGGAGAGTCAGCTATGACTGGGTCTCACCTGTGCCCGCAGAGTGCATCAGTGGTCACTTAAACCAGCACTCGTGCCGGGGCCCACCCCGAGAGTCGGCGTGCTCGGCTGCGTAAACCCTGTGATTTGGGTGTGCAGCAAGATTGGCAGGTTTAAATGGCTAAGAAAAGTGCTGTCATGTTCCTACTAAGTTTGGGACCCTGTATTGGGTGTTGTTGTGTTGTGTTGTCTGTGGATGGCGTTTTCCTCAACAAGCCTACGTATAAATTTAACTGAGGCATCTGCACTGCGGTCTGACCGGAGTCCTGGAGTGTCGGCTGCTGGACAGAGCGGCCGGTTCTCCCCTCACGTGCCCTTGTTTTCCAGCTGCTGCCGTAGGTGACAAGCGTTCTAAAGCAGGAAAACAAATATAATAAATGTGCTGCATCTTATTAAGATGTGTAATTTTATTCTGAGGAAACATAAATTATGTTTTGTATTATATGACTTTAAGAGCCCACATTAGGTTTTATGATTCATTTGCCGGGTTTTTAAATGTTTTCACAACACTGTTAACAGAATTTCAGCTACAAATAAAATGGTGTAAATACAGATCTTGCTATCTCTAAATTATGGATGTTAAAGATTTGAAATGTTTTGTACTTTGATTATTTTTATTTCTTATACTCTTTTCTTTTATATTGATATCTTACCTACATTTTAAATAAATGTACTTTTGAACTTTACTTAGAATTGAGTGATCCTTTGTTATTCCATGTATTTTGCATAGTTTATATGATTTGCATCAAACTGGATCACATTTTAAGTAATTTCAAGGCAAAATACTTTCTAGTAAATTTTCTCCTAAAGAAATAGTTTCTGGAAGGCAACCATTCTCTATCAATGTAATAAATAAACTCCCAGGCAGAGGTGTATTCAAAATATTTAGCAATCGCTACAGCACAGGCACCAACTAGTCAGAACCATTAATACCACAAGAACCCGTATCCATCCTGCCTCTGTTCCAAATCGGGTTCTAATGCACGTCCTGTTGGATTGTAGGTACAAATAATTGGAGACCACCGTCTTATCAGGTCAATAACCGCTAATTATATTAATTACTAACTACAAGTATGCTAATATATTTAATATACTAACATAATTGGTATATTAATATAAGTGTATTTAGTATGTTTAAGATTGATGCTGTCACGTCAAGAATTGGTCCCACATCACTGTGCTTATCAGGTATGTTCCTGAAACACTGAGTTTGCTTCCATAACAATTTCTGAAATGTCTTCCCAGAAATATTTGTGATCTCCTTGAGTAGAGTTTATTCTTTAATTGCACAATCTCTGCCATTATATTTCGAACACGGTTTCGGTGGAGCATGTGTATTACAAACGTTAACACAGGTGAATTCCCTGTCACGGGAACTCTTGGCATTCTTGTGGGGCCTTGGTGTTGCTTTCACAGTCAAGACATCAGTACTCGAGGTATTTCTCCCAACTCTGAGGGGCAGGACCAGTGGCTCTATTTCTACAAATGGAAAGGAAATCACACAATTTCATAGTTTTAAAGTAGGATCAATATCATCAACATTATCCATTCCCTATGTAACCTTGACCTGTGGTGGTTTCACACTGATCCATCTGATTACTGTGTGGGCACACCTTCAGTCTTACTCGACGTGACTGATTTATATTGTGTATAATCTGCAGGAAACATTTATCTGTTAAGCTCTTTAAAATACATCCCAATAGCAATTTTTTTCAGATGTACTACATGCTGGCAGTCACTTCTATTTTCAACAAACTGTACCTCAGCATGTGTCTACTTTTAAGTTCATGCTTTTGTCACTAAACAGACATAGAGGCACTTGTCTGTAGAACTGACCTTTCCCCTCATGTACTGCAGATGGAATTAGTGTTGCTATGGAATATTTTGGATTCTATAAAATCCCCTGGAAGTGCAAAAGAGTTTCATAAGTTTGAACAAAATTTTGATTGCAAAGTATTCAGAGTGCTTCCCTACTGCTTACACCCTTGAAGAAAAGTGAAGATGATGGCATCAGCAGGCCTTCCGGGTAGAGTGGAATGCATCTGTTCAGTCTTCACGGAGACAGGGCGTTTGTGTAACCAGCCTGCGAGTATGACTGATTTGATTAACCTTTCAATTAGTGTTTTTTTCAAAAGCTGCCAAGAAATAATCCTTAAAAACTCCAGGAGCTGTCTACAGCCAACTGGCTTGCACAGCTGTTAAGCATTGATTTGGTGGCTCAGAGGAAGTTACATGTGAACATGTAACAATAAAGATTTCAAGTAAATGCTTCTTCGAGAAGTTGAATAGATTAGAAAAATTATTTCTCATGAGAAAAGGAAGTCTTTCACTTAAACCTCTTGTTTTGTCTGGCTTAAGGTTGTTTAACAGAAATATGTTATGAACCACACTAGTAATTTTAAAATTTTTGGTAGCCACAGTAAATTATTTAAAAATTAATTTTAATTTTTATAATTATTTAACAGTATATCTAAAATACTGTTTCAGCTATAAGTAATTAATATTTTTAAAAATTATTGAGATAGTTTTACCTTTTTGGGGTAAGTCTAAAATCCACTGTGTATTTTACACTTAGAGCACATCTCAATTCTGACAATAAATTTTCATTGGAAATGCTTTATCTGTATTTAGATTTCATACCACTTAATAGTTTATAATTTTATTTATTTTTCCCCCAAAGCCCCAGTAGATAGTTGTATGTCATAGCTGCACATCCTTCTAGTTGCTGTATGTGGGACGTGGCCTCAGCATAGCCAGAGAAGTGGTG